TTCACTCATGCTCCCGCACTTGCATAAAAGCGAAACACTTGCCACGCGGCCGCGTTTTTTTTTCTGCGTTTTCAGTCGTCCAGAAATGCCTCCAAGAAAGTTTTCCCCACTCTCAAAAGCTGACCCCCTTAACAGCAGAAACGAGCCCGAGCATGTGCCAGGAGTTTAATCCGAGTTAGGGTAGGAGTTAAAACGCGAAACGCAACCGCTGGGGGGGCTCTAAGTTGAAGGAAAGCACTGTCTCGTTGAAGATTGTGGGTAGACATGTAGATATAACCATGAGCGTCTCAGTTTTTCGCTACGCAATAGACAAAATTCCAAGGCTTTTGATCTTGGGAACCACGGCCCTGTGACTTACTTCATTTTAATTCAGGAAGCACGTAATTCTGATTTTCACGCAATTCTGATTTTCCGTAATACAACTCGAAGCTTTCAACAACTGCCATATTTCGCGCTCGTGACCATCAGAAAGTATAGCCTAACTTTTTTTACTTCGTCACTCGTGTACGTCTCATTTTGTCACGTCCACGCACTTGCTCTTGCTCGTATTGGTCGCTTCTTAATAGTTCCTTGCTGTAGATTGCACCATCTTGAACGAGAATCACATCACCAAAGCCACCGAACAATAGGTGCCCACATCGAGCACAACTGAGGACAATCGCACCGAAACAGCTTCTACTGCAGTGGAGGTGCGTACCTTGAGTTGTCATTTCATAGTTGTATGTTGGATTTTTTTCAACGGGAGTTAAGTTGTTGACTAAGTAGAGGCGTTCTTTGACTAGTCAAGATGGAGACTTCCTGAGAAAATGCGGACGGCCACCACACTGCTGGGAAGTAGAGGTCGACTGCACACGAGCCAGAACCCAAAGTAGCTACTCAGTTGCTACGAGGATCTATTGCTAATACTAGATCAAGAATAAATAAGAAGGGAAGCAGTGTGGTCGATGAAAGTGGGTACTAATAGCATGCCGCTGATGTAGGAACTTAAACTTCTAGTAACTTACAAGAACAGTCAGACTTGATGCTTGACTATGATCATGATCATGGTATTAATAGAATTTTAGTAGAACTAGCGAAGCAATGCGAATACGTGGCGAGGCTATCGCAGATCAAGTTACTACGTTGGTCAGCCTGTTTTATTAAGATGGAGTCTCTTCCTCTTCATTACGGAAACAACCTAGGAAAGGACGCTTCTACAACAAGAACTACCTTTAGAATGCTTGTAGTATAGGATGGACTACATCAGTATTAGTAAAATAGATTGGAAATATTTATTTAGTACTTCTAATAACATCAAGAAGAACAAGAACAAGTAGATACTTCTTTTATCTCATGGATTAATACAACTAAGAACTATAAAATAATCGAGACTAGATAGGTGAAGGCGGGTTGTCGTAGCATCATCATGATGAAAAAGCTGAGGTGCTTCATGCGTAAGAAAAACTCATAGCCATTAGTTTAGATTTAGTCCAGCGCCTCCTATAATCCCTAGTGTTTTGCGTCTGCTTCGGAAAGCTTCGCTTTTTCATCATGTTACAACGCAGTAGAAGGTAAGATCAGAGTCTTAAAACTTGATTGACCATCATACAAATTGCAGAAATACCGCTCTACATAAATGGAAATATAATCCTTGCTTTTCATATCAAGTAACTCACGATCTGTTTTTCATCTTCATTCACAATACGAAAGTCTTCGTGGTTAATAATACTGATTTCGTTTTGAAGAAAACAAGGACCAAGACGATCTTTCTCGAGTTGAGCACACGACTGAACAACTCGAACATTGTATGAAGATACTATCAATACCTCATAATAAATTGCCATTCACTTTTCACTGTGATGCACCCGACGACGGCGACTCTGGAGCCACCGCGAGACCGGCTGTTGCGTCTGCGTTCTGTCCTGGACCATTTTCCTTTTTTAGAATGTTATGTAGTACCGAGTGACGACGATTCTCTTTGTTCTCGTACTAGCGCAGCTTTTAAGCACCATACAGCTTCACTTTAACAAACACTGAAGAACTTCCCGAATTACACCCCGGAGTATCAAATCGTCCACGTCTTTATATGCAATAAAAATAATTCTTGAGGGTCTTGCCATAATCTCAGAGGTGACGTTAATCGGTTTCCTACTCCACCAGTGTAATGCTCATATATCTCATTTTTGGGTTAGCGCGTGCTAGATGAGTGCATCTTTGTTCCCTCATCTTGACTCCTTTTTCCTTTGTACTTCATGATAGTACAAGAGGAGAAGGCACCAAGATGTTGAGAAAGATGGAGAAAGGTGAACTTAATTGAGATCTTCTAACGCGCCCTGGCGCATCTGCACAAACTGAAACAAATATAGCGTCATCAAATAGCTCTCCGCACCTCGAGCCGTTGTAATGTTTCCGCGTGCATGGACGAACACCTTGTCGCGAAGGACCGGCTCCACAAAAACCGTATAGAAACGGGAATAGAGTTAGTGCGTGTCAGGATACGTCTCAGCCTCCTAATATTGCGGCCTTTTACCTTGTATCCCAAGGCAAAAGGGTATTAAGATGCTATGAAAGATCCCTCCCTGAGAAGACACAGAAAAAAAGAATGAACACTAAAAGGAAGCAGAACAGTTGCTAATCAATTTCTTCTATACCCCAGTACAGGGCGCGCTACTTACTACTACTAACGATGGGTAAATGCTGACCATAATAGATCATTTCAACGATCTTGTGCAGATTAGAAAAATCCCTCTTCTTGTGCAAATCCTCATGATTATTCCAATACTGGCGGAAACGGCTCAAAGGCATAATCAGCAACGACGTCGAAGCCTGAAAGAAGGGGATGACGTTTTTCAATCGGTTAAGACAAAGTCGAGGACAGGTAAATTCTTTACATACATCTTCAAATTCTACTGCACTCGTTCATTTATCTGAGTCAGGGACTCCCTCCTCCATAATCAATTAAGTATCAAGTTTGCTCCTAGCAGTTGCTTAATCAGTACCCTTTCAACTGTGTTCTCCTTCAGCGTCTGCGTGGACATGTTACTCACATGCACAACGAACTGAGTGACGTTGTCCATGGCTTGACTCACCAAGCCTAAGAAACGCACCTCGTCTTTAGCGTCGTGGCATAGACGCGACATGTTGGCTACCGAGTTGTGTGTATTAGAGGGGCGAGGGTCGGGACTACATGATCACGATCTTCTTACTTAGGGGGTGGCCACTTAGCATCCTGCCATAAGAATCGTGTTTGCTGCTGACAGCATCAGCTTTCGAACTTTCTTGTCCATTCGTCGATTTTTCTGGGGTCGGAATAGCACCGGGATCAACTGAAAATTGAGGAGAGAGAGCACCAGCTGAGGGTTTGACTCCTTAAATATCATCCACCATAAGCTTTGTGGTGATGGAGCATTTTACTGACAACTTTGCGTTAATCTTAAAACTTTTCTTTGTGTATTTCGGGGTGGGTATGGAATTTAGGGGAGGGCACTACAGGAACAACCCTCCAAGAACTATTTGTGTATTTCGGGAGGGGTAGGAATACATAACAGCATCTCATCAATTCTTCCTTGCTATATAAAATCACAAAACTCTAAAAGTTAGTAGCGATACCCCCCTGGAGAAGGATCGGAGAGCAGCTGTGTAGGATCGCACCGGGTCCGTGACAACGCCTTTGGGGAGAGCTGATCTCGCTTTTTCTGCCGAGTAGTAGTGCAGCGGGATTCCCGAAGTAAGTCCGAGCTCAGTAGCTCCTTCACTGATGATCTCCTGCACTGATTCTGCAACGGCTGTCACCGCTTGCGCTGCATCCAGCGTTCAGATGTTAGACATCGACTGTGGTCTATTTGGGAGGGGGAGGTGCAAAGAGAGCTACTCCTATGAAATTCATGACTTGCTCCTATTTAAAAAAATTCGTCGCGCTCGTAGATAAAGAGTCCAACAGGGAAGAAATTAGAAGTAAGTCCTTAACAGTCTGATCGAAGAACGACTGGAGGAGGCCGGCAGTGGTCATCTGCGTCAAAATATCGTTCATATGCTCCAGCCACGGTCTCTCGTGTTCCGTTGCTGCGTTCTCGAATTCGCGGCCATGGTCAGCAGCAGCCATGAACTGCTCTGCGAGCTTGACGCGGTCAGCTAGCAGCAAACTTAGATGTAAGGAGAACCCACGTTTTTAAGCATCTTTTTGCGCTTTTCAAGTGCGTGAAAAGATGCGGCAAAAGTAGATGGATTGACGGTACCCATAAAAGAGCGACGCTGCAATCCAAGAGTTCAATTGCGTAATACAGGATGCGCTCGTTGCCGTTGATTCTCGCAACTAACCAACCATCGAGCAGGCGGCCTGGAATTGATTCAGTTTATCAACGTATTTTAATGGTGTTGAGGATTTGCAAGTATGTCAGGTGAAGGAGTAAGTAATGTCGTGCTGGACTTCGCGACCACTAAAGTACTTACGTGCAACGTCAACGTTAAATATGAGGGCCTATGGATATGTCTACGTCATTGATGATAAAAGCACGACGATGTATCGTAAGAGTAGCACCTTGCTGCACAGCTTCCACCAAAGCAATAGCAGCATCGAACGCTTCCTCGTCATCAATGGTGATCGCTTCAACCTGATATTATGTTATGGTAGTTAAAAACAATAGCAATCAAGCACGTTCTCTATTTTTCATCGTGTGAGATTGGGATTCGACAGGGATGATCGTCATTCTGCTCGTTTGCCGATGAGCAACACTATGGCAGGAAGCTAGTACATCAAAGAACAGAAGTAAGCCAGCTGCTATTTCTATAGCATCGGAAACAGTATGATCTACACCTTGACCAGCAGCTGCATCAAGATATAATGATGCGTCGCGTGTTGTTTCTGCCTGGCAGCAAAAGAGTTAGGGTCTGTGGTCTGTTGCAAGGTCGACGCCAGTCTCTTGAGTCGATCTCCCAGCTTGGTAGGGCTCTTATTGTTTCCATCAGCAGCATCGACTTCACTAGCGCCAGAACCTGCATCCGGGTCACCTGGCGCCGGAGCGTGACCAACGTGGAACTGTGGGAGGCGAAGCTTCAAAATACTCTTCTTCTCGTCTTCTTGCTGTTCCGCGACACCACCACTATCAGGATCGCCGCCACTGAATGAATAAGGTGATATGAGTAAGTAGCAGAAGATTAAGATTAAGAACCAGACTCATGTTTTACAAGACCATGAGGGCCTTAACTTCCGCAAGAGAAACGAATCGAACATATTAGATGCAATTACCTTAAGACTATGGAAAAATACGGATTCTCTGGCTCCAAGTTCTGAGGAGGATAAGCCGGCGGCTTGGGCGTAGAAGCGCAGTCGGAGTACGTGTTTGCCGAGCGGATTGCGTGATCAGGTGGAATAATTAGAGCTACCGCGGTCGCATCCCTAAGAGTATCCTTGGTTCCATTTTCAAGTCGAAAAAGAGCCAAGGATGATATTGAGGATGCTCCGGCGGTATCCTTAAGATAAGCACGGAAGCCGGAGTGCCGATGTTCGGAGTGCCGATGCGGTTGACGTTCATCGGCGACAATGCTCGCACAGGACTATTGCTCATAGCGCGAACCATGGACGCCGGCATGCCCATTGCTTTGTTCAGAGCGCCTTTGCCGAAAGCGCCGCCCTTGTTGCCGAAGAAGCCACCACTCTTGCCTGAGAAGGAGTAGTTTGCAGCTGCGCCGAACCCGAAAGACCCGTCGAAGAAGCCGCCTTTGGTCTGCGAAGGAAGCAGGGAGCTAAACGGGATGTCCATGTTGTTCGAACCTCCACCTCCAGCGGCGTTACAATTGGGCAACGGCAAGGAAAGTGCAGCCTTACCCTTCATGTTCATGCTGTCGCCCATGTTCTTGCCACCGAAAAAGGAGGAGGCTGCTCCTTTTTGATTTTTGCCCTCAGAGTCCTCGTAGGAGAAGAAGTGCAAGCTGTTCTTACTGTTGATATTCTTGCCACCTCCTTTCTTGTTCATGATTTGCTTGTTGATAATGTACGCATTTTCGGATGGCATTTCGTACACAGAAGACGCACGAGAAGAAGATGCTCCACTTGAGGAAGAGCTCCAAGTACCAATCGAGGAGGAGCTAAAAGACGACGTACCAGACGAAGATGTACAAGAAGAAGATGTACCAGACGAAGATGGACCAGACGAAGTTGCCACCGCGCTGAACACCGAAGCAGGATCAACACCGAAATCAAAGAAAGCATCATGGTTACGAGGAGGGTGAATGCGAGGAGTTTGCATGATCGGCTCGTCGTACCAACTCATCTCGTCCGCCTCAGCTCCATGCCCATACGTATGCTCGTCATAAACCCAGCTTTCCTCCATGTCAGCACCCACTTCCACTTCAGCATTCGTTTCTCCATCAATCGCAATAGGAGACCCACGCATATCGGGACTGGGAGGATGAGGCACGAAAATAGAAAGTCAGCTCGTGTTGGATAATCAATGGAGAAAACCCGACACACCACAATCCTTTATTACATGCATGTTGATAAAAAGCACAAGAAAACTCGATGAGTAAAATGCTCAAGACTCAGTTTAAGTTGTACATTTTTCGCGGGGGTGCATCCAGTGAAGGGGATGCTTGCTCGGCTTGGTTGCGGGAGCGTTTGCTGTTTTCCTCCACCTTCTCTTTTCGACTTCGAGACTGGAACTTTGGAGCCGGGATGCAAATTGTGGGATCCAATTCCTTCAGGGACTGCAGTCGTTGTGTCTCTTATTGCTTAGAGATAGGCTCAATCAAATGGATGAAGACTAAAACCTATAGAAGGAACTGCGACTACGTGTAGCAAGCTGCCACTTCAATCTTTATTTTTTCTACAGCTCCTACGGCTGTGAGGATTGTGTCCCAGCTGCAGTTCCTTTCTATCTACCATATACAAATAATCAATTTGATTTCTTCATAATTTTCCAGTCGGATTTCGAAACTTTTAGTTGTTGCGTTCGTGCAGCATCCGTCAGTTTTAGAACCACAGTCAGCGCGTAAAGAAAAACATTTCCTGAAAGAAAATCTAATTTAATGGGGATTAGGTACAACACTAGTACTAGGATAATTATGCCATAACGAAAGCTCCAGTAGAACACTTTGACCGCGAAGCTTTTTGTAGAAAAGGTAAGCATCTCGTCTGTCTTGAATAACCGAGAACCAAGAATGCCAGTCTTGCAAAGCCTGGGATAATAATACGAGCCCTTCACGCTCTTGCGCGAGTGCCTGCGGGATGTTGATGACATGAAGAAAGTTAAGCTTTTGCAGCAAGCTTTCAGAAGAAAGGGCATTGCTGTTCTGAAGAGAGCCAACAACTCAGGCAGACGTCTGCTCTGCGTTCTCGAAAAGACTACACTTGTACGTCTACTTCTCATCCTAATTGGAGCCAGCAGCATTGTAGTAAGTACTTTTTTCAACACACGCCAAGGCTCCTTTTCCGGCACAGTTGGGCTTTCCTTCCACGCGACATCTAGCTGCTTTTTAGAGCTCAAAGTAAGACATTGCTTCTTCCTCGCCTTTCTTCCAATCCTGAGTAAGATTGCGATAAATGCAGGGAGTAAGAAACAAGTAGCCGTGATTCTTAATTTTGATCAAAAGATCCGTTCCAAATAACATGCAAGCCAATTTTCCAAAAAAGGCCAACTGGTGCTGCCCAGCAGACCCATCAGATACAGTCGCATTGAACAAAGCAATCAGCGCAGTCTTGCATGTGTTGATACACGTCCCGGTGGTGATGCTGCCGTATCGTGAGTCTGCTTGTATCTGGAGAGAGAATTATATTCAATTTCATCATGAAGCGAATGATTTCGGTTGAGCTACTCTTTGTCTACGTACTACTCACACCCGATAGCTGTGCTCGTTCTGGTCCTGGTGGTCACGACGTAGCATAAGTAGTACTAGTTAATGCTTCTACTAGTAAAAAATTCCAAAGGTGTAGGACGAGCAACTGCTGCCATTCGTACTCCGCTAGTTTCATCTCCACATATTTCGTTTTTTGCCCGTATTCTGGTCGACGTAGTCCACCAAGTTTTTTCGTCCAATCGTCGGCATTCAAAAAGATATTGGTATAGCGTAAGTCAACTGAAGGAAAGTTTGTGAGTCGTTGTTTATTAGCAAAATAGATAGTCTAGCGTTTTTAGAGAGGTTGATCTTGTTTTCATCTTGGAAGTATTTGTTGCTAAGCAAAAAGCACGCGTTAGAAGTATTACGATGAGTGCTCAAGAGCTATAACGTGACTCAATGCAGCTACTAGTAGAGGTATAAGAAAAAAGGATGAAATATAATAACTTGCTGATACGGCTCGGCTCGGTAATCTTGCTCTGGTAGATCTGATTCAGTTCACCGTTACCAAAAATTGCCTCGACGGCTGCGGTATCTCCTCTTTGATTCTGTAGTTGAAGGAGGTGGTAGTTAAACAAGAAGCATGAAATTGCACTGATTCAGGATTTTACATTAATTATTAAAAACCAACACATTAGAAGATAGGGAAAGTAGTATTAGTACTCCATTGTTCCAGAACTTCTGGTAATCTGGGAAGTAAATGTCGCTGTGAATGATGCCAAGTCTTTTCGACAGATTTACCGCGTCGTGCTCTGATAGCGGCTTAGTTTTCTTTGCAGCAGTTTTAGCTGCGGGAGCTTTCATCATCTTTCCACTGTTGTACGTAAGTAGGAACGGTCTCAGTTTTTTAAGGTCGTCGAGTTAGAGCTTGGAACTCCAACTCCTCTAGCTTTATGCTAGAGTCTACTACAGCGGAATAAAAATAAATGTTGATTGCGAAGATTCACGCAGTGTTTCACTCGGTGCTTCAACTCGATTAACATTAATAATTTGTTGTCATGGGTGGATCTGTGTCCATCGTGATGGACCAAGCAGCAGTAGCTGTAGCATAGCGTCGTCGATAAGCTTAAGCGAGGATGCCGATGTCGATAACAATGCTGGTTGATCATCTAAAAAAGCACGGATGTCGCTTTCTTATGGAACAATACACACGCAGACGAGGACGATATTGTCGCTCCACCTCACGAATGAAGATAGCGATCGCAACGTGTCGGCTAACTAGTAGTGCCAGCCGTCGCAAAGATTGCAAGTGGTGCTACAATACCAGTCGAACAACATTCACGATTCTCTTTCTACAACACCAACCGCGATTCCTCTTGATCGGTTTGTTCTCGTCTTCTGGAGGTGCTACTTCCTGCATAGATTTCATCTCTGATAGTATCGAGTCGATGCTCAGAACACGGAGCACTGGTTTCAGTAGTAAAAGCAGAGACCTCAACTGAGTGAAAGAATGAATGCAGCCGGTAGCACCAAATTAACACGTTCAGTTTTTTCTTATACATGATAGTTTTTCCTTAACACCATAACGCTGTAGTATGTTGTACACTTCATCTACGAAATTCTACAAGCAAAATTGACATGATTCATAGCCAGCTCAATAACAATTGACATTACAATAATACGACTTATCAAGATTTCCTATGAGATGCGACGAAAAAGAATTATTAGGAGTGAGAAACATAACTAAGAACAGCTTTGATATATAAGAACAGTTGTGATTTGATCAGTAGCACTAGCAGATACTAATAAACTAGCTTTAATTGTGAAATTACCCTCCACCAACTCTTTCAATGCACCATTGAAGACTATCTATTATAAGAACATAGCTGTAGTTCCGCTTACATATCTTTATAGGAGCACAAGGAGGCACTTGCTCGAAGTTGCAAAGCTCTTTCTCCAATTCCAACACCCTTCGGGAAGAAGTCAACTTTTCCTGCCCAGCAGTGAAAACCTGACAAGAGGAGAAGTAAGAGAAAGTAGATACAGATACACGACGAGCATACGAAGTCTAGCGATAGAAGTGAGCCACCTAGTACTCAATGTTGCAGAGGACGACACTGAATTCAAATTGATACAGAAATAAACTTTTGCTCTTCCTCAGTCCCCGCCATGTTGATCACCATCATCACCTTTTCCGTTCATTTAGTAAGACCGTGCCCGCGTGAGATACGCTGTAAGTTTAGTACCGTTGCAGATGCAGCTGCGCCCTGCTCTAGCAGGGGCATACTTCGTAGTATCCGTATTGCTGCTAGTGCTGCTCTGCTTCTTTAACATATAGATGAAATTATTTTCGGCCAAACATACTCGTACTCCTTCCTGTCCTTGAGGAAGCTCCTCATAGTAAAGGTAAAAACGCCAGCTGCACCGGCTGATGCTCTTCATTAACCTGGAAAGTGGAACAGGTAGACAGAAATAAAATTTCAATTGTAATAAATTAAAGCTGAATAACCAAGAGGGAGAAGCGAAGGTCATACTTGACAAAGTTCCGTTGGAAATTGATCATGCCAAACATATGAAAGGCACCTCAAGAAAAGACTATTTCTTTTTCGTCGTCTTCATTGCCGAGGCCGACTTGGCCTTCGGTTTCTTCATCGCTGATGATAGTTTTTTCATCGCTGACCCAGGAGTCTTCGACGCTAGTGAAGCCGGCTTTTTCATGGATGTCGATGCTGAAGCTGCAGCTGCTGTTGATGACTTCTGTTTCATTGATGTAGTAGCAGACGAGTCCTTCTTCATTACTTTAGTTTGCATCCGCTTCATTTTCGCCGGTGGCGACGCTCCTGAGCATCGCAAGTGACTACTTGCGCTGCCTTCGTTCTTATCATTTGCACACGTGGATCCTGTGGTGTCTGGAGGTTTTGTTAGATCAAGAGCAGCTCTGTCTGCTGCTGCAGTTGACGCAGCTGCTTTCTCCTGGACGGCAGCCTCCTGCTTCGCCTTTCTTTCCCGTTTGGCTCGGATGGACTTCGTCAGGCCTTTAGAAGATGAGTGGCGCCGTGCCGCACTCTAGTACATAGAGGAGAATCCAACACGACCAACAAATAAGAGCATATAGAAACTGAAACTCAGCTGCAGGTAATCAGTTAGAAGCACAAGAAGCTGCATCATGGATGACTAATATCAGTATAATAGCACCTGCATACTATGATAAAAACTAGCAATCCTATTAGAGAGAGCTTCAACAGCCTTAAACTTTTTCAGCGAATCGTGGAGGATGCACAGAGGCTTCTCATGTTTGAGGTAGAAAGGCTGGTAGGCTTCTCTTTCCACTGCTTCTTTTAGAGGGTCTTGCAGAATTAAACTCCACCACAGAGCATGCCCAGCGCCTTTTTCAAGTTGTAGAAAAGGCGCCTAAGTATGGCAATGCGGAACTTAGTTCCTTCGGAAGTCCTTAACTCGCTTCTTGCCTCACGAAGGTCTTCCCGAATAGGATCGTACTTGCGAAGTGCGGCATCTAACATTTTCACACTACTGGCCGAATCGCTGACCGCAGCCATCTGCAGATAAACCTTGAACCCCTTGATAAATTCGCGCTTATCCTGTTCATGACAACCAACGTGGTCCTTAGTCTTAAGCGCCTCCCAATGTTTTAAGCCCTGCGCAAGTACATCGTCGTCAGATGTAGTGCCGTCATCATCTTTTTCGTGCTTCTTTGCGCTACTTGTAGTTCGATCGTGTTCATCTTGTTCACCAACTTGCTCCACCTCTTCCTTTATAGGTGAGAGCTCTGCTCCTTTTCCTTTCCCGCCCGCCCACTTGTTTCTGAAGCGAGGCTTTTTACTGGTATCACCAGAAACAGAAGACGAGGATGCAGACACAACTCCGAGAAGAGATTCTTGAACTTCATGCACACCCCCTCCACGGCTCGGCTCATCGTCAGAATTGCTTGCAGAGCTGTTGCGCTGCTCTTCATCCTCGTCGTAAGAGGAGTCTAAATCTTGTTCATCTTCGGCAGAATCGTTTTCGCGTTCGCCATGCGGCTCTTTGGAAAATTAGAACCACCTCAGAACACACAAAACACATTGCTAAAAGCAAGATGGGTGAAGGCTTCAAAAATCATACTAGATACTGACAAGACCCGCGGGGGGGGAGGAATGAAATAAATAGAATAAGCCGCGCAAAGATCTTGATCGTAAACAGCTCCGACTAGTGTAGTCTTGATCTCTCTAGTCGTCTGGCAACCATAATTACTGCGCTGCGAGATATTTTCGTCTGACTCTGCGTCCGCCCTGTCTGCGATGGCCACGCTCCATGGGTAGGGGAAGTATGTACCAGTGGACCAGTCTGGAATGGAGTATCTGTTTGTAAGAACAGACTCTAGAGCCTTTTCAGCTCGCTTCTCTTGGTTGAAATTCGGACGCGATCGCTTTTCCGGAAAGACCTTCGATGGACTACTAGATTCTCCGTGTAGGTCTCGAAATGGATTTTCCTGCGCTTCTAGAAGTTCCTTACGAGAGACAAACTCGATAGGAACGAACACCCCGTATTGGTGGGTCCGGTATGCTTCGCCGACTGCACAAGGTGACATGAGCCATCCATATGAATTCGTTGGCTATTAGAAGACTTTCCCGAGAATTTTACGAAAAGAAACAAAGGAGACTGCTATCGCTGTTGCACTCCGAGCAGTAGAAATTTTAACTCAAGAGCCCATAATTACACAATTTCAGGCACGTTGAACATAAAAGGTTACTACTCACTTTGTCATAAACGAAGTTGCCCGTGGGGACCCGGGTCGTTCGCAGGTCAACTGCTGCCTTCCCTGTTGCGGTTACTTCACTAGTTATCTGGGGGCACGTTACTCCGCGGTCGTTCATATCTCGAACGAGCAAGTGCGACGCCAGGTGCGACAATTCCTTTGGGCCAGTTTGAAGATCGACCAAAAAGCGCGGCTCCCCTGTTGCTCCTCGTGGTTGATGATGATTAGCACCTCCTTGCCCACTGCTTTCCCGCTCACGAACGTACATATCTGACGAAGTACAAACAACCGTGGGGTTGTGCATGAGCACCTTCGGAATCGATGAGGGGGCCGCATCTGTCGCATTTCCTTTCGGAATGCGATAAGCATAGCGGTCGACTGCATCGGTGAAAGAGATTCCGGTACCTCTGCCATCTACTCCATGTTTACTAACAGACGAAGGAGCAGGTGGTATAATATTGGAGGCGAAACTACTAGAGGCGGACGAGGATGAGGATGAGGATGCAGCGCGTGGGGCAGCATCGTGGTCCACCGAAGACCGGTGGTTCATCCGCTCCAGCTGTCTCCGCTCCTTGGAGGGGGGATGAAGAAGCTCAGCTGCTGCCTTTTCGACTGAAGCTCTGCGCTGCAGTTCCTCCTTCTTTTCCCTCTCACGCTTCTCCTTGATGTCCTCCTTTTTGCGAAGGTTCTGAAGAGGTGGACTCTCCCAGCAGTTGCCCCATTTGCAGGCGCCGCTTTGCTCCGTACCTTCATCAGACCCGCCAAACGCATATGCTGCATTGTAGTAGTCTTCTTGTTCCTGCCAGGTGCTAGCACCTTCATCATTAGAAACAGGAGCACCATGTTCCTCAGCTTCCGCGGTTTCCGGAACAGCTCCCCAGTAATGGAATTGGCAATTTTCATTCTCTCGGAGAACTTTCGGCGCCTGTTTTTCGAATGAGTAATATAAAGTAGCAACACAAAAGGAAGAACGAAAGCGAAGCAATATAAACACCGCAACGCCTTACTCCATCTGCAGCCTAGTGCTAGTCATGGTCATCATCTGCAACCTAGTATAGTTACTTTAATATAGCGGAGAAGTAGAATGGAAAACACCAGATCCGCACCATGGCACGAATAATCGTACGGCAAGAACATGCTTTTGTTGTGGATGCGCTGCCCGTGGTTCGCTAGCCATTCCTGACCAGGAAGCGCGCCCGGGCACATTGCTCTGTGATAGACTTCCAAAGCGGCTGCAGGTGTACCGGACCCATTTGTTACAAGCTGCTGCGCGGCAGAAGAATCCACGTAGTTGGTTCTTTCCGTCAGAAGATTGCTCTCATCTTCATCGAAACCACCATAGTGCTGACCGTATTGATCTTCGTAAGAGCGACTCGCCTGCTCCGCTCCAAATGCAGCAGCAAGTGCGGAGGTTGCAGCGGTGCTAGTGCTTGTCTTACCATAGTAGTTCGGGAATGTCTTGCCAAGGTTCGCTTTCGCAGCGCTATTACTAGAACTACTAGAACTGCTAGACGGCACTGCGTGTTTTCCTGACTTGCCATACGCATACAATGCTGACCCGAGTCCACCTCCACCCATGACGTTTTTACCCTTCCACGACGATGGGTCCGCACAGTCGTGCCCCACCTCCAAAGCCCCGTATTGCTGGCGCTGAATCTTACCCCCACCTCCAGCCGTACTACTAGATGACGAAGCATGAGGTCTGCTGTGATGATTCCGCGCCGCCTCTCCACCCCAGACCGCAGGAACGAAATGGTTGTAGTTCATTTGTGGATACTCACCACTCATTTTGAAGACTGTGGTCCGGCTCGTCGTCGTAGTTATCCAATGACGCGCCGCAGGTTGGGCAATGGGCCAGACCCGCCAACTGCCACCGGAGGTAGTCCTCGCTGCCTCCTGCCCTCCTTAAAGCCTCTCGGTGCGCTCGCACGATACACGCAGGAAGCGCCGGCTGCTCTAGCGCGTCTTTATAGCACCAGAATTCTACGGCCGCTGTTCCTGGAATCTCGTAGCGGTGTTTGGTGTTAGCCTTGCCGTTGTGAAAGCGGACACCCACCTCAGCAAGCTCCTGGCCCTGCTGGGAGCAGAGGACGTCCAAGAGGTTAAGCAGCTGCACGTGAACCGCGTGCTTCCTTGACGATTGAAGGGCAAAGTATGAGACCACGACCTTCTGGCTATCGAGGAGGCACGTACTCAGGAGAAAGTGCTCAGGCTGAAGGTTCTTCTCCTCGAGTTCGTCAACGTTCACCTGCGCCCACAGATCCTTTGATAAGCGTATCGACGCGATGCAAGAATCCACCTGCGATAAGTAGCAAGCGTCAGACTGGCGCCCACGTTTCTCTCGGTTCAACATCAGCAACTACTCACGCAGAACGATATGACCCAGGCACCGAGGTAAACCAGCCCACAAAAATGAGACGAGGGAGTGAGAGAATAGAGAAGAAAAAGCCCCGCGGCATTTTTGGGCCCTGAGCAGCTCAGACCTTCGCGCACACAAGACGAAGGCGCTGAGCCGCTCAACGTTTTCACCCCGTGCACACGAATGGAAAGCCCCACGCCCTTCAAAAACAGCAGAAAGCCACGAGAATGCCAGGCGAGAAATGACGTCTGAAAAGCCTGCGAAGGTGTCTCGCAGTTTCCTTGGGCTCGGGGTCTTCCGCTGATGCACACAAAGCGAAAGCGTGGAACCCATAGAAGCTGCGAGACGTCTTCCGCAGTCTTGTAAACATCTCCCGCCATAAATTTCTACAGCTTTCTGCCGTTCTTGAAAGGCGCGAAGCCTTCCTTTCATGCGCACGAAGTGAAAGCGTCGAGCCCACAGAAACCGCAGGACTTCTCTCGCAGTTTTCTACGCATTGACTTCCCACGGAGCAGCTGCCCCCAGTTCTTGATGAAGGGCGCGGAGCCTCCCTTCCGTGTGCACGAAATAAAGCAAAGCAAGCCACAGAAAGACCAAACCCGAGGGCCTCGGAGGCCACTTCGAGCCCAGCGCACGCACCGAGAACGCCCGGAAAGTTTCGAACCCAAGGAAGCCGCGCGACTTCTGCCGTTCTTGAAAGGCGCGCAGCCTTCCCTTCATGCACACACAGGGGGGGACTCGCGTCCTCCAAGACCAAGAGAAAACCGCAGCGACTTCACGCGCGAAAGAAGTCCCGCGGCCCCTTTGGGCCCGAGGCTTTCACTTCGTGCGCACGCAAGGAAACCCCCGCGCCCTTCAAGAGCTGCAGGAAACCGCAGCGGAAGCGCTTAAGAAAGAACTGCCAAAGGAGTCCCGCGGCTCCTGTGGGCTCGAGGCTTTCGCTTCGTGCGCACGAAAAGAGGGCCCCGCGCCCTCGAAGACAAGCAGAAAGCGGCACAGCTTGCGACGGGAAATGCTTAGAAAAGTGCTAAAGAGGTCCTTCAGCTCTGGCACTTTTCTAAACATTTCCCGCCTGAAATTGTTGCAGCCTCCTGCCCTTCTTGAAGGGCGCGAAATCTCCCTTTCATGCGCACGAAGTGAAAGTCTCCAGCCCAAAGAAGCCGCGGGACTTCTTTGGCACTTTTCTAAACATTTCCCGCCTGAAATTGTTGCAGTTCCCTGCCCTTCTTGAAGGGCGCGAAGTCTCCCTCTCATGCGCACGAAGTGAAAGTCTCCAGCCCAAAGGAGCCGCGGGACTTCTTTGGCACTTTTCTAAACATTTCCCGCCTGAGGCTATTGCAGTCCCCTGCCCTTCTTAAAGGGCGCGAAATCTCCCTTTCGTGCGCACGAAGTGAAAGTCTCCAGCGCAAAGAAGCCGCGGGACTTCTTTGGCACTTTTCTAAACGTTTCCCGCCTGAAATCGTTGCGGTTTTCTCCCGTTCTTGAAGGACGCGAAACCTCCCTTTCGTGTGCACAAAGTGAAAGCATCGAGCCCAAAGGAGCCGCGGGACTTCTTTGGCACTTTTCTAAACATTTCCCCCCTGAAATTGTTGCGGTTTTCTCCCGTTCTTGAAGGGCGCGAAATCTCCTTTTCGTGCGCACGAAGTGAAAGCCTCCAGCCCAAGAGAGCCGCGGGACTCCTTTCGCACTTTTCTAAAGATTTACCCCCTGAAATTGTTGCGGTTTTCTCCCGTTCATGGAGGGCAGGAAACCTCCCTTTCGCGCGCACGAAGTGAGAGCCTCCAGCCCAGGGAAGCCGCGGGACTTCTTTGGCACTTTTCTAAACCGCCTGAAATTGTTGCGGTTTTCTCCCTTCTTGAAGGGCGCGAAACCTTCCTTTCGTGCGCACGAAGTGAAAGCGTCGAGCCCAAAGGAGCCGCGGCACTTCTTCAGCACTTTTCTAAACATTTCCCGCCTTAAATTATTGCAGTTTCCTGCCTTTCTTGAAGGGCGCGAAATCTCCCTTTCGTGCGCACGAAGTGAAAGCGCCGCGCATTTTCTTGGCAGGAATTTGCGGCAGAATATTGGGGCGATTTCGCTTTCAAGTGGCCCCTTTTTTGCAGTCCTTCAAAAACGGCAGAAAACCGCAAGAATTTCAGGCGGAAAATGTGCAAAAATTGCACAGAAAATCCCCCGACTTTTTTGGGCGCGAAAAGCTTATCTCGTGCGCGCGAAATTCCTTTCTTGAAAGTCTCAAAAATTAGGCGAAAAAAATTCGCCAGATTGCGGTTTTTTCGCTGCCTAATTTTAACACCACGACACGACGGCGCGACGCGAGAAAAAGGCGGCCACCGGCTTCCCCCGTTTGCCTAATTTTTTCCAAATTTTTGCCAAATTTTTGGACATTTTTGCGCGAAATTGATTTCCCAAACATTCGCACGAAGTGAGTGATTTGCGCCAGCACCTTGAAAAAGGCGAAAAAAGGCAAACACCCGAAGGCCCAGCCACCCTAATAAGCTGCCACAAATCCACGCACAAAACGCGCGCGAGGCTTTTTCGCTGCGCGTGAAGCCTCCCCTGCGTGCACACGAACAGAAGGGCCCGCGGCCTGCAAAAGAGACACGAACAGACCACAACCACAAAGACAGCGCGCGCTCCGCCTTCAACACAATGCACCCTGCCAGCCCACGCCGGGGCAAAGAGGGCCCCGAACTGCTCCACCCTTCTACAGTAATAGCTAGAACCACTCAGCGCTTTCTACAACCTTCCCATAAGTTACATGCTTGACTTGAGTCGCCGCGTGCTCTCGCTAATCTGTTTCGCGACAGCCTCCAGGCCTTTTTCTGGTCCAGTAGAAGCGTGGAGACGCGGACGAGAGTGCGCGCCCTCTACAGCCCGCAAGAACTCAGTAAGTCCACTTATGACTGCCCAGCGAACTGCTCTGGCGCGCTGCTGCTCGGTAGTGGCTCCTTTGCGAGCGGGGCCTGTGCGGGGTGTGAGCGTGGGGGCGTTTCTACTTCTCCTACGGGCTACAGCTACACGAAACGCTAAGAGCCGAAATTCCAGCGGAGCTCTCCGTGACCATAGACGGCGCCACTTCTAACGCAAAGAAGCCCTGGACCAGCTGGCAGCTGTAGGCATAGCGTGCTGGTGCGGTGGAATGTCGTCCAGCGTGTTCCCCAGCGTGCTTACTGGTGCCTCATGAAGAGACGACCTCCTCCATGCCATCTTGCAGCGGCGGAGCTGGTTGCGGCTTTATTCTCATCTTGTGATTGTAGTGTCAGCAAATCTATTTCATTATATGGATTTTTCTACTGCGGTTAGAGAGTACACTATAGCGGCGACCGGGTTGCCTGCGATGAACGTTCAGTACAATCAGCTGCAGCACACGGCTGGGGACCGTCGTGCCAGATGAAGAAAAAGGCGAGGCGAGCCCGTTTGTTCTATTGATCCATCCGGAAATATCACTCCGACAACACGCGCCCAGTGAACCGAGTAAGGAGAAGAATGACGCCGCCGAATCTATTCCGAATTGCTGCAAGCCCGTTCCATTCTACTCTTTGGAGCACTTTCAAGAAGCTCACGCGTCGCTGCTGTTTTTCAAAGTCCTTCCCTGAATACTTCACTCTAGCCCATTCTTTCAGCGAACAAGACAAAAATCGACACGAGCAAACTTTTCTAAGCAAGTCCATACATAAATCGCAGTAGGTTACAAAACGTGAATATTGCTGAGAAATTTGAATTGATGAACGAAATTACTCAAGGACGAGAAGACGGCAATATTTATTGTGTACCAATGAAACTGAATCAAGATAAGAAAGCAGAAATAACGAGTCAAAGCCTTTCACGATGCTGATGGCAGCAAGGCTCTCAAAGTGCCGCGCTTTAAGTGGTTTCGTCTGTAAGACTAAAGGGCACACTTGGTAAGTTTATTCAAAGTGGATCAACGTCCTCCACCTTCGTCCGAAGACAGTCCCTCTCCCTCTTCTAGATGAGCCGCATTCCCAGGATAAGAATCTGCGCCACCGCCTTCCGCGTCCTCAACATCTCCGCAAACACCTCCGCGCCGCCGTGAGGCTCGAGCAGGAGGGGTCGCAGGGTACTCGCTGAGCTCTTCAACATGGTCCGAATCGTTATCACCTAAGTCACCTCCTGCATCCCCCGCCATCTCTCCGTCATTATCCAAGACGAAGTTCGACCCCACTTGCAAAAATGTTAGGTCCTCATCTGTCAAGGTGCAAAGCTTCTGCACTGCCCTTTTGTCAGACATGTCTGCTCCTAATGCATGCACGTCGAGCGCAGGCTGGAGGCATTGGGTGAACAAGTCTCGCAAGCTCTTCTTGTCGTCATCCGATAGCCTCTGCATGCCACCGCGTACCCAACGCGACAGCAGAAAGCGAGCGCGCAAAAAGAAGACAGCCATGTGCAGCCTGTTGAGGTAGAAACAAAGAAGCTGAAAAGTAGACAGAGGGGAACACTTCTAATTATTGCCTTATGGCTCAACGGAGACTGCTGGCCTTTTATCTACTGTAGTCCAGACGAATGACAGCAAGCACTTCTGCAGCAAAGTCCCCATATGTTTACAGCAAGACCCGAAACTGTAGAAGACTTGCGCCTATGGCGCTAGTTTCTAAAGAGCTAGAGGAAGTCTAAGAAGTAGAAAGTTAGTACTCAGTTTGCCTTGGCTCTTTCCCTTTGATTCGGCGCTGATGTTCGCACGTGCTTCGCTGAACACGAAAAACGCGGCAAGCTCTTGCGCAGGGTTTCGTCTTCCGAATTCTACTGGAAGCCCCTCTCTCAGGCTCATCTAGCGGCAACAGACACCACCAGAATCGCCTCCCTTCGCGGCAAATCTTGTTGCGAGGGCCGCCTTTCAAGCGATCACTGGTACGACCTTGCTGAAGGTATAGGTTCATCTTGAAAATGCCTCCCCATGTCCCGTCACGAATGACCCACGACGTACTTGAACTAGTTGAAGCAGCTAGCACCGCAGAAAAGTTTCGATCCTGGAGCGCTATCTGTGTCCGCGTCTCGTTGTCCGGTAGACCGCCATCAAGATTCTGACCATGGTACCCAAGGACAGGAAGAGGCAGCCCTAATGCTACAGCTGCACTATTTCCAACTCCAGAAGCGTCACCCTCACGCGCAGGCGCGACTATCTCTGAATCAAGAGCAGTCCGCTGAACGTCAGCCGGTGGAACGAGGCCCAAGGACTCTAGAGTGGTCCGGTACAGTTCCGGATCTCGTCCCGGTCGAGGGAGCCGGTACATCAGAAAGTCCCTCTGCAGCGTGGCTACCGTCTGCTTCGAGATGGTTCTCACGTTTCGAAATCGCTTCAGAGGTATGACGCGACGCAGATCAGTCGCGACGAGCCATAGATGCGCGCGCTGTTTCACCGCCGCAGCAGGCTCTGGGTCGTCCGGCTCGTCTGAAATCCGGTCTGTCAGGAACTTCCTCTGTTGAAGAAGATACTTCAGAAGTGTCGGCCTTTCCTGAGGTTCTAGAAGATACTGGCTCGCTTTCGCGTCGGTGGAGTTTGCTACTTCAGTCCTCACCGACGCCTGGAAGAAGCATAGATGATAAGGGTCGTCAACGATGACAGAGTCTCCGCTGATCCATGACTCGTCAGTCAATCTGGAGAAATCTACTACAAACTCAAGCACAGCAGGCGAACCTTCCCAGCATGTCTGCACCTCGCTCTCCTCAGCGTCAGCGACGTCCGGCGCCTCTATAACAGCCTTCCCAGGTATCTCAACAGCCCGCATGCGCAACAGGCTGCACCTATCAGGCCGACGAAGTGACCAGCTGACGTAGTACACCTCGGCATCAACCGGCAGACGCAGCAATCGGGGAAGAAGCAACTTCTTGCAGGTGTCATCCATAGCAACCGGGAAATGCTTCTTCATGTCACCCGTGAGGGCCCCGGTGCGATCAACGACGACTATCAGCCTACGGCCCATGTCACACAAGTACCGCTCATTGATGATTTCCGCCATAGTTCTCCTCGCTAGTTTTGTCCGCTCTTCGTCGTCATCTTCTTGCTCTTCGTCGCTCGATGAATGGTAGCCAGATTCCTCTCCAGACATCACCGTAGAAGCCAGCGAGGCCTCTGAATCAGCGCCCGCACCTTGTTCTTCATGGAGCGCGGCGCCCGCGGTTTCGTCACGCACTTCGTCAGCCGCTGAGTGTTTGCCTTCGAACAGACGCTGATCGCTGGCTTTCTCATCTTCGAGCTTTTCTTCTTGCTCAGCATGCTCCCCGCAGTCTACTTCCGCCGCGGCTTCGCTTGGCTTAGGGTTGCCCTTGTTGGCACTCTTTGCATTGGTATCGCCGCCTGCCTTTTCTTTCATCGAAGTAGCCTTCGCCTTTCCGACGCCCATGGCCTTCGCCTTGCTCTTGTTGCAGGTAGTGCCTTCCTTGGTGTTGTTGCTTTTGCCTGCTTTCGTCTTTCCTGTTGCTTTTGCTTTAGCGGCTTGGGCCTTGCCTTTCGCTTTAGCCTTTGCTACTTTCAGAGACGTCACACGCCTCGGAGCGGCAGCTGACGACGAAGCTGGCCCAGGCGCGTCCTCTGCCTCACGAATGTGCAGCGCTCCTTCTTCTTGTTTTTGCAGCCCATGCAGATTGTTCTCTTCGCCCTTCTCTCCTTGCGCCTGCTGATCCTCATCTTCGGCGACCTCTCCTCTCTGCTGCTTCTCGTCGTCCCGCTTCTTATCGTAATCCTCTAGCGTTTTGTTCAGCTTGCTGAAGCGAAAGCTGTGCGTATCGTAGTGACGCTCTGTGTGTTGATGTTTTAGCAACTGGGTAACGCAACCAGATTGAAAATCGTCCAAGATTCCAACTGCCTGCGACAATAAAGATGGTCGCCGGTGATATCGGTACCACAGTCTTTCCGCTTCGTTCGCAGCTTCATACATGTCGTCTCCTGCAGCATAGAATGCCGCCGGGGAACAGAGAATAGTAGCCGCCGCTCGAGCGTGTCTCCAACCGGCCAGGTACCTCATGAAGATTCTTGTGTTAGCAAGGAAAGAGACCTTGGCTCGAATGTGCCGCAATCTCGCGAGAGCCATTTCCTCCATTTCGATGGCAGGCGCGTTCTTGTACAAGGTGTTGCCAAGATGCCGCAGCATCCGCGAGTTCTTCTCCAGTTTATCCCAGATAAGGTTTCTAGCGCGAGTAGTGTACTCCGCCTGCTGAGTTGCCGTCAATTGATGCCAGCCGAGAAACGGATTACGGCGAGGAGGCTGGCCTTCGACGTTGCAACCGACAAACATGCTGGGCCCTGGAATGACACAAAAACTACTACTCTTCTCAGTCTTCCAAATGTCAACCCCCGCGAACCTCTTGCGGCGATACGATATCGCTGTGAGGTACAGCAGAGGCTCTTTCCGGTACTGTGCTAAAGATGACGCTATTCCATTAAACTCTCGCGATATGGCTCTTGATTGCGCTCCACAAGAGACGTTTTCGGTGTTGCGTAACTGGCCAGACTTGTATCGCCTCTGGAGTGCCTTTGGATGTCGGAAATATTGCTCAACTTCAATAGTAGAATATCTCCACACACGATGCATCACAGCAAGCCCATTCATGTGCCTTAGGGCTACCTGCATGGCGCGCGAATGCTCTCCACCATCGTGATCAAAGTCGTGGTAGATGCGTTGCAAATTCTCGACGAGAATGATACCAGCGAGGATCTGCGCCCGCGAATCGCTCGCGCAACTGTACCCAGTGACGAGTGGGTGCTCCTGCGCGGTTTTCCGCGGAGCGCTCACATCAATTTTAGGCCAGCTCCACACCATCTGGATGAACGTGCACTTACGAGCTCGCGTGTCGAAATCGCAGACCAAGTTCTCGACGCAACTGAAAGCTGTCATACGAAAGATGGTTCCGCCAATGCCACCGATCCCAACAGCCGCGGCTGTGCGAAGACGATCGACTGTCGCTGCAGTCAACAACGTACCCGGACCGACAGCCATCCGAAGATCATACAGAAAAAACCCCGCAACGCGGTCGACTGCTTCGCCTATTCCCGTGTTCATCGCGTCCACAGCTTCTTGCGAGGTCGACTTCGCGAGGTACACAAAGATCTGCAGGCCTGTGCTCGCGTTCGCGCAAAGAGGTCCAAGAACGCTAAAAAGGTAAAGACGCTGCATGTCGTCGTAGGTGAATCTCGTAAATTCTCCCTTTCCACAGTGATACTCTTCATGAGGTTTAAGCGTGAAAATGTCCAGCACGCGGGTGGCCATCACGCTCTGAAAGATCCGAGGGACCTGAAGCCACCGATTTGTTGCTAAGTTTGTCCAAGAGGCGCTTGTTCCCCAGACTTTGCGAACAAAGTCGATTACTTCCGACTTCGTTGCTGCGTATCCAAAGCGCGCATGATTATCGAGGTGCCCTGAGTGCGAAGCAGTATGGTCGTTCGCTAAATAAGTGCATTTGTTCAACGATATTTTTGTTCTCAAGTATGACGCTGGCCTCGATTCGCTACTCGTTGGAAAGTAATTTACCACAAAAGCTACGACCAATATCTTCACAAGACCACACTAAGCATCTTCGTGGGGGATGCGGATGGCAAATGAAATACCTCCAACCCGCACGAGGCGTCGCCCGTCCTGATTGTTTAGGTCAACGACGGCGAGTGGAACTGCTAACTTGCCCCAAGGCGTACGGTAAAAGTCGTGAAACTTCCAGCTTTTTTCCATCTCGGAGATCACCCTGTCCGACCATCGAGGCCGACGCGGATCTTCCTCTTGCACGCCATCCCGCGAACGCGTCGTCTTTTCGTAAACGCTCTGGGCTGTACTTGTCCAGCCTCGGTCTCGCATCTCGGTAAGCGCATCCCGGAGACAGTCATACCTGGCAAAAGTGGAAAATTAATAATATAACGACGCTCGCTGCACCTTGTTGCCCTTGCGTGCGATGCTAGTTCTACTTCTATTTTCCTCCTCGTTATCTACATGCTGCGCTAGCGCGTCGACTTCGAGCGATCATCTTCACCATCAGCATCATAATGCATTAAGAATGAGAATGAAAAAGAGATACAATCTGTTTCGAATCACGGCCCCCCACAGTCTAAAAGCGTTCTCCACTTTGTGAATAGACTGGTATAGACCGGAAAACCTCGCGGTCATCGTTATTATCTCCTTCAAGCCATTCGCATACCCATGCATATTGCAAGGGATGACTGTTCCACTGACGTAGATTGGTACCCGCGTATCTTCGTAATATTTGTTCATCATGCGGATGTATACCTCGACGTAGTTCGCTGCTGCTAGTGCTCCCTTATCGACAGAGATGCACGAGTGGACATGTTTCGGCATGCCTTTTCGATGATGACTGCCCTCAATGGACCTAAGCTGTTTCTCGAGCTCACCAATTGCTGCCTGCGCGATTCTGCACGACTCACTCTGTTGCTGGTGGTCGTAGTCTCGGAACAAATGAGGTCCACGAATTCGCATTACCGGATGAGTTCGCCAGAACTCCGTAACCCTGTGTCGTTGAACAATTTTTGGAGCTGATGCTGAAACACTGTCAACAAAATCGCCCGCAGCTGCGGACTGGCTAGCACTGGCATGATCGTAAGTCTCAACCGTAGTCACGCGATCGGCTTCGTCTACAACTCGAAGAGGGGACGTTAACCGAAAACCCGGCACACCAGATGGCCGCTCTTTCTCAGAAGTTGTCACGCGCGTTTTCACATACGCCAATCCATTATCGTCGTATCCCTCGAAGAAGATGTCATCTAAATCATCCCCACCACCAGCAAGATCTGCCGAAGAAGTCGACGCTCCAGCAGCGGATCCTTGTTGTTGTCCCCTTGGTCTCGTCGTCGTAGTTCTTCCTCTTGTGCTAGAAGGTAGCGGCTGACACTGGCCCGCGTTACCAGCAGACGAGCTGCTTTCTGGTAAAGGAAGGTGTGGATCTTCAGGGAAACTATCCGCATCATGCTCCAGCTCATCTTGATCCAGAGGGATGCGGTACTCTCGATAAGCATTGCGGCCGGCGATGTGATGTCCTCGAAGTGGAGCGTCAGCCACGCGAGTAGTGCACTTCGATGGTGCAACTGCTACGCCCTTGCCTGTGTCAACAGTTTGAGGACCTTCTTCCGCTGTCGCAGGTAGACGAGGTTCTTGGTGTTGGGTTTGCGGTAGTGATGGGTCCACCTCAATTGCTAAGGCTTCTACGTACTCTCTCTGGATTCTCTCCAGAGTTTCTCCGATAGATTCAGTGCCTAAGTCAGCGTCTTCTTCTGCGCCAGCATCAGACTGAAGCTGGCGGCGGCTGCTACGAGACCGCGCCCTCGCTCCACCTCTTACATTATGTCCGCCTCCCGCTTCCGGTTTCTCTTGCTGGCGGCCGGTGCTAGAGCTTGAACCCGCTGTGCAACTTGCAAACGAGTCGTCATGGATGATGCCCCTCAACGCTGCACGCTGTTCTGCGTCTGCTTTCTTGTAATTTATGAGGGCCTTTGGCATTACTTTCTTGCTGCGCTTACCTCCCTGCGCCCATCGTTGATTTCGCTTCCTCCGTCCTTGCGCAGCCTCGCCGTCCCGCGTTGCATACTCCAAATCTATGTTCTCTCTCTGCGAAGGATGCACAGATGGGTCGTGAAGGCACAAGCCCACCCCAGTCAACGACGTACTTGATGATCCTGTGAGTTCCACAACCTGCCGACGCACATCATCCACAGATCTGTCATCTACTATCTCCGACACCTTGTTCATGCAGTAAAGAGCAGAGACCATTCCAAGTAGCTTGTTGTTGCGCACAGTAACGACTTGCGACCTCGTCTGATTAGCATTCTTGTCAATGTCCGCACTTGCATGAGAAGAAGACGCGACCTCTCCATTGACGCCTGCAGTGGATGAAGTGCCTGTCGGTGTGGAGGAAGAAACGAAGATAGCAAAATAAACTAAAAATCATCCTGATTATGATTCAATAACTACAAAAAGAAAGTCACCAGGTGAGGAAAACAACGCGTATTCGCAGAAGGTTTTGAAGTCTGGACTTCTATGAGTTAGTATAGCCATCGACCAAAATTAAGAACCAGAATGTTAGTGCCGTCTTGTTGGTTATTTTCAGTCTCGCTCTCCTTCGTAATCGTCTTCACCTTCACTCCTAAATCAGTGGCATCCAGTTCCAAACGATGCCCGATGGTCTCTTGCATAAACGTCCTTTCTTCGAATTCATGATCGTAGGCCCAGTTCAGCAACACAGCGACCCGCAAGATTTCATCTCGCTCAGCGTCAGTCGTCGGATACGCACCAGTAAAAAACCTCTGCGTCACCTCGTCCACCAGGCCGTATTCTACGTCGGCCTGACCCAAGACCTCATCGTTTGGATAGTGTAAATTTAGACCCTAGTACTTGTATTCATCTTGAGGTAGCGCGTCATTGATCGCTTTTCTCCTTGCAACCGTTTCCAAGAAGATCATGCTCGATAAGATGAATAAATTGTAAGCCTTAATAGATCGATATCGTATTTTTCAGCTTCCTCGACTGAACCAATGTCCGAAGGAAGGTTCTTCATGTCTGGTCGTAAAATAGACGGTAGCGCGTTATTCATCGCAGACACTTCCATCTCCTCGGGGCCTCCTGTCCCCACGTCTTGCGGACCCTGCTGTTCTCGGTCTGTTGTAGAAGATGAAGAACTACTAGCCGACATTTTAGGTAATCTCTTGCGCTTTAGAAAGCCCAAGTCGGTGGCCCACGCTTGGAAATGCTCTCGCATTTCGAACTTCTTTGGTTCCATTATCCTTTTCTCATCCAAACCAAGATTCTCCGAACCAACTGACAAGCGATCTCGAGCGATCTTCTGCGTTTTCCTCTTCTCCTCCTCCACCACCTTCTTTGTTTCTTCATCATCACTGACCAAGTCCAGCGCGGAAAGCGCTGGCCGTCTAGAAGTTGCAACATCTGGCACCAGCCACATGACCTCCGCACCCGCTGATGATGTTGATGTAGTAGATGCACGAAGATGAACAAGGAAGTACTGAGACAGAGAAAGGCAAAGCTTCGGTATCAGTGGCATGTTTCCTGATGGTTCCTGATGGATTCTTCTTCAACTGCTTCACACTATAAGTGGACCTAGAAACGTGCTCCCCCCAGAAGGGGCGTGCCCTAGTCGCTAGTAGCGGACCTCCAGCTCCTCGCCCACTGCTTTAACTATTAAGAAGATTGAGATTCGTGCTGCAGGGAGACTGTTCATTGACTCGCCATGGCCATGCTGCAGTCGATTCTACTAGCACACGCACAAATGCATTACGGAAAGCCTGCGCACATGGAACGCTCGTGCGCCAGTCGTCCAGATGAGCAACATCTAGACCATGGACATGCAGTTGTAGAAAGTGAGACCCTAATGAATCAGTCTGCTGATGCCACAGCTTTTGCTAAGCACTTCCATCTTCTAGAACTAGAAGCGTCTCCAACGAAAGTAGGACTCAATGCTTACAACACCAGTACTATAATAAGCTTGCGAACCTTGTTAGAGTTAGATAGTCAAAAAAAGTATTCCACTCGAGATGAAGTAGCACTTATACTAAGCTACTTTTCCGATCGGCAAACTTCTCAAGAACAAAAAGTGGTCGGACTAGACACTCATGTCGTGAGTACAGGGGGCGAGTATTTCAGCAGCCCAGAATCGTCCTCCTCGTCTTCATCTTTGTCTTTTGCATCCCGTAGAACACAGCTTCGTCTTCATATCAGAGGGGTAGAGCGTCCTTCTTCGTGCTCACAGCTTCTTTCTCAGAAGCAAGTAGAACCTTGCAACTTGCAACTTGCAAGGATTTTCTTCTGTCGTTTCGTATTTCCGGTTATGACCATGGACATCGTCAATTTCGCCTTCTACGTAGAAGAAGTACAAGATACGCAGTGAGGATCATCATGATATGTTGAAGCATCGTCCTTTTTCTCAGACAACAAAAATCATCATGCGCTTTTTAGTCGATATGTGGGGGGGGTGGGTTAGTAGGTTATCTAGTCGTGGTGGTACAGTGAGTTAATAGATCTAAGCTAGGGGATCGGAACAAGATCAAGAAGTCCATTTTATGCTGTTGATTATATCAGGCGAAGCTAATAGGGGCGTTATGCTGTGCAATGTTGACCAAGAAGATGGAAGTCATCACGATTGGATCCGTATTATATTTTTAATTAAGAAAGTCTCCTCCTCGTGACTTTTACTTATGCAAGACAGGAAGACAACATACAACACGAACTACAACGACAATAAGAAAACAATTATCAGTCATGATCTGTGCACTTCAATCGAGAGACTTTTTATGCTTGTTATCCTTGTTCTATGTTCCATAATAATATTAGGAGTAATTCTCTTCGATAGCAGTTGTTCTAGGTATAATGTGAAAGCGAAACTATGATCATAATTATCGAACAGCGGAACGCGTGGAAGATGTGAATGCTGTTTTTAATAAATGAGAAACAACGCAGCCAATGGCAATAATCGCTGTGCAACTCCAAACACATACCTGAGTGAAAAACGTTGCTCAACATCATCTACCGAAGGTAGTTCGAAATTGATTGATAGACCAGCAAGAACAATTATACGAAAAGGTGGTGTATGAGTTTCATCCTGTAGCTGCTCACCTTCTATAGTACTTCTAGTAGCTGCATTGTAACGCCGCATCTCGGTCGCGAAATGAAGAGGAAACAAGTAGTGCTTCTAGTTCTAATGAGTAAATGCTTCTGATGCTAGTGCATAAGATCAAAATCCTTCTCCTCACTTTTTTCCTGATCGAGCAGACGCAGGGACCTCAGACGCGAGCTCGTTTACGAATCGCATCACAATTTGTTCATCTGTCTCGGGGGTGTAAACTCGACACTTCGAGTCGATAGAAACCTAATCAAGAAAAAGAAGTCGTGTTTATTTTTGAACATTAAAAATAAGAGATCTAAGTAATGCAACAATTCCAGGAGAAGAAGTTCCATCATGCTGCGTCGAATTGAATCTCAATAAAGTCTGATCCTGGCAGCTAATGCTCAAAGAGATGCAGCTTCTTTTGCACGCAAATGCAAGAATGACTGGCATAAAAATACTAGAAGGGAACAGCAATACCTGTAAAAAGCTGGAGCCTTGAATCAGCTTCATCGAATCCGAATTCCGGTAGAAAACGAGGTAGTTTGCTGATCCAACTGCTGACGATATGGCACGACTCAACAACGGGGAAATAAAAAGCTTCTCTTTATCACTTTCCACCTTGTAGGCTTGATTAGAGCTGAAAAAGATGTCTGACCTCTTCGCCGGAATATTCAGAAAGAAACTGCAAGAAGTTATGAATGGTAGAAATAAACTGCATCGAGCCATAACCAGCCAGTCGATTTGTTGCGCTAATCGCGGTGCGTAGATGCGCCAGTCCGCCCCTGCAATCACTGCTAATTCGATAAGTTAGAGGATGCACCCCGAAAATCACACTACAGGTCTTCTTGAATCCTAGTCGAAGGATGCTAAGTTAGGCCTGTGTTACGTGATGCAGACCACTAATGTGGCAGCACGAACTGCTACTACTACTACTACTAATACTAACTAGAAAGCCATAAACCAAACCCGAAGCCGTTTTTCCGTGGGTGCTGTTGGGAGTGGGTGCTTGGTTGACTTGCTGCGGCACCCAGGTCGGCGGGTCCGTGGTTGACTTGCTGCTTTCTGTTTCGGTCCAACGGACGGGTCGAGCGAACTGGTACTGAAGTAGTAATGATTATGGAAAACAGTTGATGGCGAGAAAATGAGATGGAAACCGTAGGAACATGACGAAGATGGACATCAGACTCTATGAATGAAAATATAACTTCTGGCAAACACACACACTCCCAAAATTTGCGTTTTTGCCAAACAAAACTTTATTTTTTCCAGAAGGAGCTCTTTCATCTTCATCATGATCCTAGTATAGAAATCAAACTCATCGCGAGCTATTCGTTCGTAGTGCTAGCGGTGCTACTTCTACCACTACTTCTACTACTACTCCTGTTGCTAATTCTCGCTGCAGAACATGTTGACACACAAGAAAGAAGAGTACTGCTTTTGGTGGCGGATTGCTCGGTGGGTAAGGAAACTTCGCGTCCGTCTTCTTCACGCCACGATCAGTACTACTACTACTAGTGCTACTGCTACTAGTAGAGAATGGCGCGCTGCGATAAGTTCTAGTAGAAGTAGTAGCAGCGCGCCCAGTTCCAAAAATTACTGCATCTGCGACGTTCTCCCGGACCCCTTGCTTCAGAAGGTAGCGGCGAACCTTCCAGTTGTGTGACTTCTTGTTCATGACCCTGTGCATCTTCGTCTCGTGGTGTAAAAACTGAATGTGCCTCGTTCGTAGAACAATACGAGAGACCAACAAGTTACTACCAAGGTCTTCTTCTTCTTCAAATCACTTCTCGTTGTATGCTTCTAAGATTTTTGCTCCTGTCCACATGGAGTTGTCGCGTTGTTGTATGTCATTCAACGACATTAAAGTTCATCACACTATCTAATCAGTGAAAAGTAGGCGCTGCTCCCTTTGTTGCGAGAGTATGGCTATGGAGAAGTTGTGGTGGAGCTGAAGAAAGTTTGGAGATAGAACAGCAGATCATGCAAAAAATGACGCAAGCATCAGAAGAACACGCCATGCAGCTAAAACCGACGATGAAGATCATGTACCACGATGAAGATCGACGACCCACTATTTGCTTCCTCACTCACTCACCCTCGAGGACGACAACTTTATTTCGTCACCATGATTCATTATTATTTCACGACAGCTCACAACTACTCACTCACTTCTGTAGGACGAGGTGGCGCACAAGCACAAAACAAAGTTCCTGCACGCTCTTGATGTTGAGTCTGGAGAACACATGATCGACTTCCTGTTTCGAAACAAAGCACAACAGCGCGAAGCCGCTGATATTGGGCCTGAAGACTCCTGGCCTTAAAGAAGAGGCGCAGACGGTAGTACTTAAGAGGCTGACTCTCATCTTCATGAGCATCTAGTCTGCTGAAGACAAGACTTTTTGGCCAACGATCACCAGAAGGAGGCTTCTTGAAAAGCTGCTGAGAACTCATGGGTGACGACTGAGGAGAACTATTAGGACGCGACGCCCTCCCTTACCTTTCTTATCGCTTTAAAGTGAACAGCTTCCAGCTGCTTGAGTTTCTGACTCTGTACGATGATGCCAGTTAAGGCATTTTTATCCTAAAGCTGTGGAATGAGTTGCATCAAGTTCAAGGCCTCACTCATTTCCATCTCCCTCAGCCTTCGCACGTTGTCGTTAGTTATAGAGCGAAATCCGAAGCCACTAAGAACGTCGCCAATAGTCTCGAAGTCTTTCACTTCATCTCATTGGGCGACGTCGCCAGGCCTCGTCTTACATCTGCGGACTCAGAGAACTCATGAGCTTGAGGGCCTCGCTGCAGTCTCTTCAATTTCAAGCATCGGCTTGTTTTCAGTATCGAGCTGGCGACTCGAGCCCCCGCCAGTGAAAGTAGTAAGCTTCGAGGCCTTCACTCATAAGAGGATACTCATCAGCTTAGAAGTGCGGCGCTGTTCTTCAGGTGTAGGACTCGAATAAGTCCTCCTTAGCTGTAAGTCAGATTGCTTCATCATAGACAACGAATGCCAGGAAGTTGCTAGGCTGGGCAATTGGCTTTAAGAGATCCGACACGACTAGACCCGTCCCCCAATATACTTCACAAGTAGACCACGCCGATGGGCCTTAGCTGTTGTAGACCTCCATCCCCCAGCTACATGCAGCCACACTATACCCAATCAGTGAGCAGCCCAACTATGCCCCGGGGATATTCCTTGCTTCACATCAGCGCCAAAGCCTAACACGGTCTCAGCCTTCAACTAAGAAGAGCACTCACCACCAAGTACGACGACGATCGCAATCAATACGAAGATAATAGCTGAAGCCTGGCCCTGGCTACATATCCAGGAACCAGCCCCCTCCCTTTCCGGGCGGATACGGAGCGAAGCCCTGGGGCATAAGCGTGACCAAGTCTGCCAGCACCTTTGCAAAGACTGGGTCTGGAATAGGAGCAACGCACTGAATAGCACTACGCGCAGCTTCCTCCTGCTTCCTACTGCTTACTTCATCCACTCCCTGCGACTACTTTCGTTACTCTCTGGTCTACAGCTAGCACCTATCAGCGCCCATTCTAAGAAAGCCCATTGCTTTCTAAGGCGTGACACTACTACCCAAAAAAGCAAGAACTTCAAAAAAAGCAAGCACCGCGGTCGCCAGTACTTCGCCCGGCTTATTGGGCACACGATAGGCGCGACAGGTCCCGCCACTTATAAGGCGCCCAAGGCTCGCCGCGTCGTAGTTGTTGATGTGAATAGTGTAAGCAGATGGCAGTGGGGAAGTGTGTAAGTAATATAATAAGGGCCCTAGATGAGATAGATAACACAAGAAAGAATAAGAGAGACAGCCCACGACTAGGCAACACATGACGGCGATGCGGCGCCCCCCATGAGTTTTCTTCGTTCCCTCTTTCGTTGCCGATGCCGACCAGTGCGCCAGAAGTCACCCCATTGGCTCGGTGATTAGATGGCGACGAAGGTGGAGAAGGTGCTACTTTTGAAAAGTAGAACTAAAAAAGGAGCGGAGCCTAATGCACTTACCCAGCTTGCCCCTAGATACTACTCATTACTGCTTAGTTCTTTGCTCGTTACTGCTGCACAGCCTCACCCTACTGGTGCCTGCTCCTGCAACTTAGTACATAACTCAAGGAGACACTTCCCAAGCCTTTAAGTAGTACCACTCTGCGCCATGCCGTCTTAGACTCCTTCACGCGAGGCTTCGTGGAAGATAATCCTGAAAAATGACGACCAGGCTGATGAAGAGATAACAGATTAAACAAAGAGGAAAAGAGGGCAAGACCCTCCACCACTCAGACGATTACGAACCCACGCTACTACCAAAAGACTGAGCCTCACTCAGCGGCACTGTTCTGCGAAAAACTATAGAAATAAAAAACATAGAAAAACGGCGCGCGCAGTTCGGAAACAATTCCAGCGCGCCGGTAGCGCTGCCGATCTCCTCCAGCCCTGCCGGCTGATGAGCCAAGTAGAATAAGAACCAGCAACCCACCTCGAGGAGTGTTGGCGCCTGTTATTCCCTTGCAGATGGCCCCGAGGTGTATTCTTAAGCAACGAGCAGAAGCGCTGCGCCCTGCGCAGGCTTTCACTTCTTTAGTGCCGCCTGCTACCGCTCTGTCTGACAGCAAACCGGCGCGCCGTTTCACTAATGCACTCAATCATGCTCGCGGGATAGCTGACGCGGAGAAACAGCAGAGCAGCTTCCTACCAATTCCCAAGACGAAAGCCAACCAAACAAAACTAAACTTCTGCGCAAACTATACAAGAACCAACCACGCAAAAACCATCCAAGGGAGTAGGGTAGCACATGTCGCCAAAATGCAAGGCAGTGGGAGACCGCAAACCCAGCCGGCGTCTGGTTTCAGACACGCTGGCCCACAGTTTCTCTTCTCCTTCCTGTAGTTCTCGCATACAGCGAGCCTGCCGCAGAAAGTAACCCCTTGCGAAATATTAGAGAGAACGCAGAAAGCCACTGGGTAGCAGTACGACTATAGGCAAAGTCTATGGCTATTATAGTTATAGCGTCTGCTTCTTCTGGCGCTACTCTTCATCTTCAAGCCATTCAGAGTCATGGCCTGAGTGGTAGTAGCAGTAGATGGGGCGCTATAGATATCAACCCTACCAGCCGGGTAGATTAGATATTGCCTGAATTCACGAGGACCACCATAGACGAAGTTGCTTGCAATGCTCCTAGTGCTACTACTCGCTTTCTCTTGGTTCTTGTTACTGCTTGACTGCTACTATTCGCGGCCTTAACGGCTGCAGAACTCTTTGAAGCTCTTGCCTTTTCATTTGAGTCCCCTACCTTGTCCCTTGGTGTAGCCGATTTGGTCGTAGGCGCCTTCGACTTCGTCGCCCCAAGAATTGCCATAGCTTCCGAAGTGTGGACGAAGAAAGCGGAGGCCTGAGATACTAGCCCGCGCACTAGTAGCACTACTTCAACCAATTTACTAAACAGCATCAGCCTGGTCACCGAACTACATAAGTAGAGCAAAAGGCACCAGCTTGATAATACTCGAAGCCCTACCTCAACTAAGCCGAATCCACTTGATAATACTGAAAAAGAATACACGGAGACTGCGAGGGCCTTCTGACTGTTACCCTGAAAAAGATGCTAGCACTTCAGGCGAGTACGTAGACAAAGCTCTTACTTCGCTACTAGTAAGAAGCCACGCCTTAGGCTGGTTCTGGTTGAGTAGCAGCACCCCTTCCGCTTTTTCCATGCGGTCCACTCTCATGCTCTCCCTTCGTCTTTCCCTTTCCTGTCGGCTTCCCGTGTCCCTCCTGCGTCTTGGCGTGGCCTTTTATTCCACTTTTTTATTTTTTGCCATCCATGGCGATGCTGTAACTCATCCTGTTAAGGTACTAGAAACGAAGACAGTGGCGACGATAGTGATGACGATGGTGCTGATATACTCAAGCCACAAAAAGCCACAGTCCGACAAGAGAGACAAGATAGCCCTCCTTCTACAGCGAAGGAGTGGCCTCGTGTTCCTTTTACTCGTCTTCTAGTGCAGCTTGTTATATATTAGCTCGCGTTATAATTATGCTGCTACAGCAGAGAAGTGCCCAACTTGAGGAACAGGGGCGAGAATATACATTCCCGCGCGAGTCGGTGTCACTTTAGACGTCGCGCGCCTTCTATAGGCTTCTGGCACTCCGTGCGCTGCCCCCTTTTCTAGTGAATCGCTAAGCTTTTTTATCGTGTCGCTTCTTATCCTGCGACAGTTAGGGACCGACGCAGTGTAAGAATGCGGGCGGAAGCTGTCAGGCAATACATTGACAGAGTGGCAAAGTTGCAAGATTTGCGGAAATTGCACCCATGCGCAAAGGCTACTAGGCTCCGACTTTTCAGCGAGATCACACGACCAGAAGTCTTCTCTGTTCATGATGTAGACAACGCGACGCCAGGCCCAGATCGCGCGAAGACGTTTTTGCTCGTGATGTATCCAGCAGGAAGCGCCCATCGCCGTCCTGTCTGTCTAGCCGTGCCATACTGTTCACAACAAGACTGATACTGGTGCCCTGCGTGGATGAATAAACTTGCCTCGCACGAAGCAGCTCTACACAGACGAAGACGAGCGCCAGTCCTATGTCTGGGCGCGTTTGCTTTCAAAGTGGTCCTTTTTCTGTTCCTTTGCTTGATCTCATCACAAGCGGAAGCGTTGCCTTCTCCAGCATGTTCATGCTCCTGTTGCTTTTGCATGCGGATAACCACGCACGCAAGCCAACGAAGATCGTCTCCGCGTGATCCTCTTCAAATAAAACCACGGCCATGGCCTGCCCGTCGCCAACAGCTTCAACATTAAACACACAAACAAGCCACAACCCACTAGATGAGTCTTTGCTATTGCGAACAAAAGGGCGAGCCACTTCGGGGCCCCATCCCGTGGCCTTCCAGTCCTTTGTTACACAACACCCGCAGCTCACGTGTTCCCGAAGTCTTTTCTTCGGGCCCGGACGTGCTCATCTATCGAGCTGCATATAACTACCAACGACCCCAGAAAGAGCCCCCTACTCTCTTACTCAAGAGGTAAGAGAATACAGAATAAAGAAGAGCCTCGCTGAGCATTCGCACCGCCGTGGGAAAGTCCAACCTTGCTGGTCCCCAGCACACTCCGGTAAACTCAGCCGTCTCATCGAGGGACTGCACCACTCAAAAACGACGCATCCTCAAGCGAAGACCGAAGCTGACGGATGTAGCCTCGTCCGTTCACGGGCATACCTGTAAAGTCTGAATATTTTCCAAAGAAATAAAACACAAAACACATATGCAGAATTCAAATTTTTCTACCTCAAACAACATGTAAAGCAAATATTTAAAATATCACTTTTTTTACATCAGAATAAGCTTCAAATAAATAAAAAAAATCTAAATCCGTACGACCTCGCTCGCCCTCGATATCGATCTGCCTTTTTCGCTCCCATCGAACCCAAAGTCATGCCTGCAAAATCCTATCTTTTTTCAATTTTCTCCCTAATTTTTCACATAATTCCACCTAATTCCAGAGGCAGGGCTAATCATATTTGTTTGTTCATAATAGTTCTTAATGATAATGTCACTGTTAGCTAATTTTTTGTATTGAAAGTGTCGTTTTCATTGGGTATGGCGGGTACCGGTACGCATCTTGTCTGTTTTCTTGTCAATGCATCTGCATGTCAATGGTGCATCTGTATCTATTAGGTTGTATCGGTATGACATATTATTATAGTAGAGTCAGTGTGCGAAGTGTTGATGAAGATGAAATCGAAAAAAATGTTAAATTCCAATACATAGCACGCTTTCGCTTTTCTTTCAATTGACAACTAGTGTGAGTGTACGAGTCGTGCGACTTCATGCAGATTGATCATGAAGTTGAAGCTAGCATGTCCTACAGTGTAGTTTGTAGTTTGACTTTCTTTTAGTAGATTTTTTACAAGAGATTCTTTTTTGTACTTGAGTACTTAGACTGATTGTCTATATCCTGGCTCTTGAGTTTGGATGCGCCTAAGTGGCCTTAGCTTAGTGGTGGCGCTCCAATGGCGGCATTATAGTTGAGGACGCGCGACCTGTTTTTGCAGCCAATGGTACGGAATTGAACGACTTGCGTGCAACGCCAAATGGTGACTGCGCGACACTTACGCTCTCTTCCACTTCGCCAGCCTCTTTCGATGGACGACCTCTCATACGATTTCCTAGTACCGCCTTAGCTTTGTTTTGCTGGTAACTCTGCATCCTCCCTGCAACAACCGGTGGCCGAGCGAGATTGCTAATTGGTTGGGTAGTGCCAGCGAAAACGGGAGTGGACGCAGGTGACGCACCTCGGCTCGATGCTGAGGTTGCAACAACAACGCGCACTGGGGGCGGAGCAGCGCCTAGCAAAGTTGGTGTAGCCGTAAAAGTGCCGTTGCAATTCAGGGGCCGCTGAGCCAAGATTGAGCCACTAGATACTCGCCGCGTAGCTAGCGGGGTCAACTCCCGCGAACTCGCAGACGCCGACATGACAACCAAAGACGCCGTCGAGCTCTCGCGGACGACTGGAACCTTACCAGCTAGCTGCGGAGGAGGTTGCAGGGAAATGCCGGGAGGCAGGTACCGTAAGGCCCTTGGTGGCGGGGGCTGGTATCGCGCTGACCCTGAACAAGATGATGTAGCTGGTTCTGTTGCCGCTGCTGCCACCTTGGCAGAGGAGGCTCGAATGTCCGCAGGAGAGCTCCTGGACGACTGTTGAAGTACTTGGTCACTCGTGCCAGCCTTACTTCCAAGAATGTGCCTTTCTGCTAAATCAGCACTATGCTCAAGCTCCTCATCAGAGGCTATTTTTACTCTACCTCCGTCATCTCCCAGACAACATGTAGAAGGCGCGCTTGCTTCTGTAAAGCGACAAGTGGTACTGCTTGAGGTGGAAGAACTATTTGGAGGCAATTCTTTTCCTTTATTTTGATGTCCAGCAGCTGAAGAAACCTGCTCAGTCAAAAATCGGGCAGAAGAATGGCCTCGTAAAATCGTTGGTGGTGCAGGAGACGGCGCAGCAGGCGTCCACCTACTCAACATGAGAGTGCTACGCATGAGAGAATCATGATGGTCTGCGGTCCCCGTTATGTCTACCGCAGGGTGGCTATTGTTGAGAAATGCTACTCCAGAGGGTATCCTTGGCTGAGGTGTCATTTGCAAACCAGCACTAGCGCTGTGGACCTGAATACCGTACTCTTTGCTGGCAGAGAGCGGATAGAAGGCCAGACCCGAAGACGCTTTGGGCCCCGTGGGTATTCGCATTTTCGCGTGATCTGTGTCTAGCAGTTGATCTGCAGAAACGACAACTGAAGACGCTGAGAACGTACTCTTTGGAGGTTCCGCGTAGTACAGAAAGTGGGCTTTCTTGTTTTCTGCACTTTGATCTTTACCGTTGCCACGACCAGCATAATGCAGTTCATCCTCCACCGATGAAGGTCCCTGCATCTCGCTGCTTGCAGCATCATCGACAGGACTGCTACCCGGTGGCAGCGACGATGGAGCCGAGGCTGCGGCACCCGTTCGAGATCCTCCTCGCTTCAGTATTCCAGCATTTGATGGTTTGAATCCGAAACTTGTTTGACCTCCACTTTTCTCAGCAGCTAACTCCGTCGCATACCTGTGTGGCAGTGCTGTTGGCGGCGCGTCGAAAGCCGCATCTGCCGATGTACCTCGCACAAGTTCCCCTCGTCGCGTTTCTACCAAGTGCTCCGGGGTCGACGGCGCACCGACCTCACTGGGCAGCTTGTCTGTTCTTTTACTTCCTTGACGCGAAGAGCCCGCCGATCTACCCGCTTTGTCGATCGGTGCAGGCTCTTCTTCGCGCACCGCCCACGCGCGATCCAACGTGCCGGATGGAGTACTAGTCGGACTCCGTCCAGTGCCCTTATTGGCACGTTCGCCAGGCGACGGTGAGCGGGACCCTTCGCGGCTGGATGTTGTCATGTGCGAATACCAATTGCCGAGAACGAACGGCGCAGCTGGATGCTTCGCCTTTGCAGTAGCACTATCGAAGTCTGGGCTTGGCGACTCAGGTTCTACGGTCTCTCGAGGAATTGCTGGCTCACTTTTATCACCCTGGAGTTGCTGTTGGTGTACTTCTGTTGCTGAATGTGGGACAACGTGGGCAGAAGCAGAAATTACGGAGCTTCCTGCAGTGCTTACCGCCTTACTGCTAGTTCTTGCTGCGTGATCGGTTTCCAGCACTGGCTTCAGCATTTCTTGGTACCTGTTCAATGCTTCGTCGATAACTCGCAGATGATCGCTAGGATGCTCACCCAAAGCTGCCAATCGCGGTTTGAGCTCCTTCATGGCTGATTCTCGACCTGCCGCCAAGGCGGCATCTGCGGCACTCAAATCACTCAGTTTTTCGGGAACTGGTGGCTGGCGAGTAGTCGCATTTTTCGCCTCGTCCTCGTCGAAGAACTCCAAGCGACGAGACACGTCGTCAGCGACAAGGCCAGCTGTGTCGTTCTTCGTGTCCGTAGTTTGCTCGGTTTTCGCATGTCCTGGAACATCCTCTTGTTTCTCTTCGTCCGGCGCCAGTGTCAAAGACGTTAAGGACTGGATCTCACGATCTGTCCTTGCTATGGCGTTTACAATCTCCTGCAAACCACCCGGAGCTGGTACTCGTACTTCGCTAGCCTCTCCGTCTGTGGAAGCACGATCGGGTGGGGGTTGGGCGTTTTCTTTGCTTCCTGGCTGGTTCTCGTGGGCAATTCTAGCTTCTAGTTCCTCCTCGTTCCCGCTAGCAGATTCTAAAACTTCTAGTACACCAAAGTCGTCGTCAGTCAGTTGAAGCTTTCTTTCCGCGTCACCTAGCTTTTGAAACTTCTCTTGTAGCATGTACCGCTGAATATTTTCGAACACTCCTTTTTCCGTGGTTTTGTGTGCTTTCTCCAGTAGCTTCGAAGTGACTTCCTCTGGGGCCGGATGACTACTGTAGATCGGGGAAGTCGGACTCTTTGACCTCTGAAGGAACGCATGGCGTTGCTTCTTTCCGTCGTAGCTGTACAATCCACGACGCGGCGGCCCTAGCTGCATCGTTCCGGCATTTCGGGCTTCCTTTATACGCTGAGGAACTCTATAGTTCGTCACCGACGTAGCCACCGCGAGTAAAGCCCTGTTTTTAGTCGTGATGCCGTGTAAAGGTTTATTATGCATATATTTCTGTTGATGAAAGAGGCTGAGAAATCAAGCTGTCGTATCATTTAAGTGTCATATCGAACACAACTTCAGAAAAGTTGTTTCTCACACTTTGATGAAGTTTGATGCAAGTTTGTTGTACCCCTTCTCTGCAGCCTCGTCTGCATCTTTCTTCTTTTTCTCCTCTATTGACTGTCGCGTTTTATCCTGTATCTCTTTCAGACGTTTGCTCGCTCCTCGATCCCGCTTTTCGCCTGCAGCTTCTACTCCCGCGGCGATACGATCAACACTCCCGGGCGATGGTGAGCGCGACCGCGCCACTATGTACCCTGGTACCTTCGGTTTTGCCACAGACAGCCTATCTTTGCTTCTTTAGAGCTTTTCGGAATCCATCTCGAAAATCAACATCTTCCAAAATCAATCTGCACCTGGTGTCCTAGTCCTAGTTGTACTCTTCTCTTTATTCAATTCTCTCTGCTGTACTACGCGTGTCTACGGATCGCTTCAAAGCTAGATACAACAGATTCTAACATGCAGTAGGCGCACTCAACTACCTACTACAATTCTCTGTATGATACGACTCAACTGCAGGCAAAATGGAACATCTCCAGCGGTCTTAACCGTATTTGTGAGTTATTCCCCTCCGCGCGTCGCGAGCCCTCTGATCGCGCACCATTTTCGCCGCTTGCGCTTGGTTTCGAGCCTTCCGTCGTTCGGTCTCAGCCATTGCCGCATGGTCATCTTCTGTCAGATCGCGTTCTAGAATCTTGTAGTTCCGTGACCGTCCCATCAAATCCACTTCTCGTACCGTCACTTAGACATATACGTTAAGTGGCTCTAGTATTTTTCAAGGCTACTTATCAAGCACGACAGCACAACAAATTTTGAAAGCACAATCACAAAGACAAAGTAGATACAGGGGGAGCTACTATTCTACTTCCGAGAACATCAGCAAGCTTCATGAGCGATTGCTCCTGCTCAGTTTCGACGAACTCAAGAGCTCAACGCAAGTCCTGAAGATGCCATAATTTCCGTCGTAGCGTTTCGGACTGCGCATACGGTCAACAACCCTGTCAGACCCATGTACCTCCGGGGAGGGATCTCTAGAAAATTGCTGCGCCCGCGCCGCATTCATACGGCGCTGGCGACGTTCTTTCGAAACGGCGTGCTCTCCATCGAATTCGAATCCGTGTATATGCAGATGATTCTTACGAGATATCAGATCCATCTTCTCGTGCTTTTTCGGACTTCGCTGCCGAGCAACGAATTTCTGGGCTGTAGATTATGATTGTAACAGTGGCGTGAAACATTCAAGGCATCTCACATTATGATTGCATATATCCTCTGCAGTACATCTTGTTCTTCAGCTAGCACTCTGAGTAAGTAGATAGTGGAATAGGAATGACATGAGACGACGCACATCGGACAGACATTGTTGAATTCTTTTGCTGCCAAGAAAAGAAGGCTTACAACTACTGCTACGAGGACAACTTCATGTACGAGAGCGAATGGTACAAAGAAATGTAGTACCAGCTCGCTTGCGAAGGTCATGCATTCGTGCCTTCTGGGCCTTCTGTTTTTCCTCAGCGGTTGCCCGGCGGTCGTTTCTCCCGTCGCGAACGGGATCTTCCTCAACCGCGATTGTTACCTGCTTTTTTCTTGCGGCACGGTCATCTACTGAGCGACCAGCTCCGATAAGACTGCTGGACTCACCTCTATCATTTGCTTCTCCCTGTTGAGAAACCTGAAACTTTGGCTTCGATGGGCTCTCCACAATTTGCTCATGCCTTTCCCCGGTCTCGGGGTCGATGAAAACTTGCACCGCAAGAACCATGTTGGAGAGGTCCGGCTTCTTGTCGAAAGTGACGTTCCCCCGTGGTTTTCCTTTTCGTCCACTCTTGGTACTATTTTCCTCAGCCTCTCCAGCATTCTTCTCCTCTTGTGCTCTGTCGACGGGGGTTCTGTCAAGCTCGTCTGCTTCTGAGATAGTCTCGTCAAGTCCAAAGTCATCAAACCTGTCTTGTGCGCTTTGTCCTGATCCTGCAGCTAACAGCGGTCTGGCTTGAATGCCACGCATCGGCCCCGCACAACCGTTGATCGCCTGGTGGACGGCAAAGCGCGGCACTCCCGAAGCGAAGGACGACGTGCGCCCTTTTCCGGCAGTATTGGCGCGACTGCAAGCGAACTTCACGGACCTGCCTGCCCTAGTCCCCGTAACGCGACCCTCGGACAACTCTTCTTGACCGCTTGAATGATCCCCAGCGGAAAGTCTTTGCTCGCGTTGCCTCCGTTGCCTTTCCTCGATCGCCATACGGCGTTCCAGATTCTGCTGGATTCGCCGTGTTGCACTGAGCGTGCTCTTGCGACTCACGAGTGTGTCGACAGAACCGTCAGCACTACGCCCTCTACTGCTAGGTCTGGATGACTTCCTCGTTGATTTTCGTGCTGATGATGTGGACCTATCGGTCGCGCCACCCGCTCGAAGGCGGTCGATGTTGCTCCCTGTCGGTAGGAAGCCCTTGGTTGCTCGATTCGCAGTTGCCTTCTCGTGAAGCATGCTCATGCGAGTTTGTCGATGGTAGCGGCTCTCTTGGTGGACTCCAGCCCTTGCGCGGTCGCTTGTATCGACGATAGCTCGGGCTGGTGCAGCCCCCGAACGGCCAGTTTGCTCAACGTCCGCCGATGCAGCGCGTATAGTCTCACGACGGGTTTCCCGCGTCACCTTCGTCCGCCCATTCAGGTAGTTGTGCGTCAATGGTTCACGGTTCTTTCGCTGGGATGGTCGCATCGACACGGTCGACTCCGACTCCAGCTGTTCCTCTCGTCGGTAGTAGGGAGACACTTTTCGGAGAATCTGGCGTTGAAGTCGTGCTTTCTGCCGTAGCTCATACTGCACCGCTGCGTCGTAGCTACCGCGCAGGCCGCTCAATCTCTCCCGTCTCGTAAGAGGGCGAAGTGGACTGCCGTCGCTCGTGCTCGAATACTCAACACTGTAGAAATCGGCGCTCATGGCTCGGTCTCGAACACGGCTACCCTGGCCGCTACTGTATGAACGGCCAATGTCCGACGCAGTCGTCGCTGAGCGCCCTCGGCTTGGTGGAGCTGGCGCGTCTGTCGGCATAATTGTGATGCTGTGTTGCATGCATCGCCGTGGCTCACGGCTCGCACTTCGACTACCGCTGCGCCGTGGAGGCGGCGTGTGCCTGCTCCCGTCGGCTGCGGAAGACCCTCTTGCTTTATGCGAAAGCCTAAAGCCAGGCACATGCGATAGATGACCTCCATCGTAAAGCAAACTTCCGGCTGCAGGAGAAGCCTCAGAATTCTCCTGATGCGACGCATGAAGTGGGTCTTCTCGCTGTGCGCCAGACAGTGAGCATCTCCAGTGTCGGTGCGGCTCAGGATCGTGCGCGGTGATGCCCTTGACAGCCGACTTCGGCTCGAGTGAAAACTTGACTCGATTGTGGTAGCTGTACAGACTTCCGAACCTCGGACCGAAAGGCACAACGTAATTCCCGTCCTCGTCCAGTTCAGCGCGATCTTCGGGGCGCCCCATCTGGCGATGACCTCCCCGTGTTCGGCCTGGTCCTGGTTGGACCTGTGTGCGCGGGAGCGGACGCAGTACATTTTCCCGTTTGAAAGCCGCTGGGTCCAGTCCCAAACGCTTGATCCGCGCTTGCTCCATGTGCTTCGCTACTTCCGACTGCGTGAACAATACTTTTCCTTTTTGCTGCGGACTCATGAGTCCGACACTGCCGGCTGAGGCTTGCCTTGCAGGTCCAACCTTGTTTCGTTTAGCGCTGTGCAGTTCTTGATACACCTCGCCGATGGTCTTCCTTTCCTCGCTGCGTACCCCAAAGGGCTGCGTGAAGGCAGCTGAGAGAGTGTGGTCGTAGCTTGGACCATACTTTCGTGCGGCACGGATCTCGGCTTCCGACTCTAATACGCGCTGAGTAAAGTGCCAGTCCCTGGCCGCTTCGGTCTTCGCCGTAGTGCGGACGTGCACCTGTCCTGCGAGGTCCCCGCTCTGCGCTAGATCCTTCTCCGCCTCTGGCGAAAAATGGGTACGCGAGTTATGATGCGTGATTCCGGCACCAGCCTCGACCATGTGCGCATAGTAGTTCGCACTTCCGCTTTCACTCAGGTCTTGGAACGATTCTTGGTGGAAGCGGGCGCTAAGCGGACTTTCACGGTAATCTCCGAACAACTTGTTCAACCGTGGGTGCTTCGGCGACGGAGTCTTCTGCAGCTTTCGCAGCGTGTCAGACGCCTCATGCTGGCGGACCCGACTAATGATAGTCGGCTTCACGTGATCAAACTTGGCGGCACCTGGTGCGACCTTCCCACCATCTCTTGCGCCTTTCTCGTCATCTTCCCAACCGCCGAGATAGGTCCTCTCGCCTTCTGCCGACACTTTGGAGTGTCGCTTGCTGCTGAGATGACTGAGACTACTCACAAGGCTCTGCCTCAACGGACCGTCACCGTCAGCGTCCGGAGAATCCAAATTGAGGTCCTCCGACTTCACACCGGCGCCGACGAGAGAACCCTCCTGAAGAAACGAGGTGAGGAAATAATGAGCAAGACTGCCAAAAACAGCTGATTGTAATTCCTCGATGCAAGACGAAAATCTGACTTGTCATTAACTTGTTTAACATGGTGTGACTCTTCATGTTCGAATTCGATCTCACAACAACCAACATAAGAAAGTCACGAAAAGTACTGCTCTCTTCAAGAGACTTTCGAGCACTGGCACCAACGGACTATTATCGACTTCTGCTTCGGGTGAGCCTGAGCTGTGCGGACTTTTGCCCGGTGCGGCGCCATCGTCAAGCAGGTGGGCGACCTTTTCCCGAACCGCCCGAAGAATTCGCAGACGATCTTCGACCTCGCTGTGCGACATTCTACTATTTCCACCGCTTCGATTTGTTCTCTACTTTCTGCTCACTGCCGCGATGGTCAGGTGTAATTGTCGTATTACGGTTCCTTCGTTGAACTTAGCGTGAGCATGAATGGAGACCTTCGTGAAGCTCAGAATCGACATGCTATGCCTGGCACACGTGCAAGTTGGTTTTTAACTCGAATGACGAGAACAGGAAGAGGCATAAACCCAGATCGCGGTACTTCATTATATATTCGTCTAGTTCTCCTCCATGATTACTTTTAAGGATCTGTGCCGCCTAAAGCTAAAAGAGATTCTTTCAAAAGGTCAATCCTGTTGTACCAAATGCTATCGCTGTTCGGACTAGAAGGTGCGGATGGTAGTGTGAAAGATTCGGGAATCTGTTGGAGAATGTTATTGTTTGCGGACACCGATGCGTATTCGAGTTCGAAGTTCACGGGTGGAAGCATCACCAAGCAATAATTGGACAGCCTAAACCGAAATGCTCTTGACAGAAAGAAGATCTAGGCTTGATTACAGAATTTTTGGCCACTACTTGCCTTAACCGACTTGCATTCTCTGGCGTTTGGTCAGCAGGCGCGGGTAACCACAGGTACAGAAGTCAAGACCGATATACGGAATTATCATACGCAGCACCAGAGACAACGGAACCCTGTCAAATGAGTGAGAATCCTCTTTGACGTTATTCGTTTTCGCGTACTCTGGCCCAGTAAAGCGTATGCTGTTCTGCAACTGGACCTGTTCAACACGAAAATCATCCATCATCTTGGCATGATATAGCAGATGAAAAGTTGTTCACAGCCTCGGAGACAAAAATGTCGTCCGATCAATCATCCGACTTCGCTTTCTATGCAATGAAAACATGATGTTGACAACATGTTATTTGTGTCCTTTATGTGTCAGTCTATGATCTTGATCATCAAGAACTCGATGAATCAAGAACGTGAACGTCTCCTTGGTTTTCATCGAGTATGACAGTCGATCTCATTATGGCGAACGAACCGGCGATATCTCCCGTTGTCCGCTCTGGCCTCGCTTTGAATTTTTCGCACGCATGACAGCAGCAGCACTACGAGCGCGCCGAAGACTCGACTTGGAGCCTTCCAGTTGGTATCGCGCATCTATGTATCGGTACACTGAGGACATCTTGTTGCGAACAGGGATATCCACTACGGTGTTCTTTTTAAGCTCGACTTTTCGTCGCACACCTCCGCCAGAGGCACCATCAACCTGTGCATGTAGGAGAATTTGCGCTCGCAGAGAAGTTGCGCATGAACAAGAGGAGAAATGAAGACGATGCTTATACCGCAAGTGGCCAACGAATCTTCTTGAATGTTTTCACAGAGACAGCGACAGGCAACTAAGTACTCGGGAAATGCCTCTACCTCTGACTCAAAACACACGTATATTGTTTTATAAGAAGAATTTTACAAACAGACACGTCCACCAAACCCCCGTCCCAGATCTTGCTGGATGTTGTCCAGGATTTTGCCAGAAATTGATTTTTTGATTAAAATCAGGCATTCAAAAGTAAAAAACTGCGAGTAAGGTTTTAGGTATACGAAAATAAGAAAAATAAAGTAAGGTCTGAGGTAGTGAAAATAATAGACAACAGCCACGGTTTCAGGTATGTCATTTGATAAAATTTATTGCTGCTTCTAAGTGCTAGAAATCACATCCAGAAAACCCGAACTCAATATGATCAAAATATAGTTAGAAAGTTGAGGATAAGGAGTACAAGGGCTAGATTACGGAGGTCTATTTTCAAGATCTTCAAAATCAAGCAACCGAGCTGATCTCTGTCCTTATCCGTTTGTTGGTGTAGTGCTGAGGATCACTATCTAGAACTTTGACGCAGAGGATCGCCTTCCTGCGTATGGATTCAGCGCGGGGATGTGTAGCAGTAGTGGTCTCAATCACAGTCACACGATTAGCCGAGTGAGATGAACACAATTAGAGCCCGAAGAGAATCCACGGGGCACTGGTCACAGCGGACGCAGAAGACCCGTTGATTACATTACGCAGCCGGGCGCGCTGCGGGGTTATCCACTTAAGCACGTGCTTCTTCCTGAAATAAGTAAAACACTATGAACCATTTTTTTAGATTCAACGAAAGGAGGTTCAAGCTATGCTTTAGGGAGAATGTTGGCTCAGGCCTCCCCGCGAGTTGTTTTTTTCGTTTCCGTCGTTGGTCATTGATAATATTTGTGCAAATGCCTGAAGATGCGCCATCGTGTTTTGTCATTGGTAAATTACCAAGCAGCCGCTGCTTGTCAAGGGGCGCACTTGCTTCATGAGAATCGGAAAGGCCGAAGCAAGTGAGTACTTGTTATATGTTGTAGGCCATCATTATAAGTGCACCATCTGGGTACATCGTCACCATCATGAGTTCATGTCGAGAAAAAGCCTAAAGCTGTTGGGTTGAGATTTTTACTTCTTCAGTCACAGTTTCACTATCGTCTTTTTTTGTGCCATGAAATTAATAATAACAAGAGGACTAATAATGAGCAAACTGATGCCACAGCGTCCACTTTAAGTAGAACAATAGACTAGCAATCAACAGCTTACTACTTGAGGAAGGTGGCGGTAGATCCTGATGAGGTTCTCTCATCAATTCATCAACACAGTTCTTTTTTCTGAAGATAGGAGAATAAAACTCGGTATAGTTTGAAATCATGGAGGGGAAAAACTTGAGGAAGATCATGAGTCGAGTGAAAACAATAAGAAAGCAGCCTGCTTCTAATGGGGACATATGTCGACTTAGTCACTGAATCGAGTCAAGGTTAGTTTTGTTGTCACGGTTTCGTGTGTGTCTTTATTCATGTCCATGCTATTCACTCAAAAGATAAACGCTCGTGCCAGATATTTGCGGACTCCTCTTCAGATAATATTTTCGTCTTCCTCGTCGTCATGATCGTACGAGTCGGTTTTTGTACTGATAAACGAGCATATTGATACTCATGTCAAGACCGCATCACGATGGTCGATCCTCATGCTGCTTCTACTCGTCTGCAGTAGACGTTCGCAATCCTCAGTGAAGATATTAAAAGACGCACTCTCCTTTCCGGTGTTTCTTCCGCCCGGTTCTGAAAGAGAAAAAAAGAAAATTAATCGGAAGTAGAATGTTAATGATGAGAATTGGATGTAGCTGCTCGTTACATACACATGAGCCATCGACTTCAAGTTGATGCGTGAAGACAACAGAGTCCGAGAAATTTGAAAAAACACAAGCAGGGCGTCTACAGAGAGAACTCCGATCATTGAAATTCACAAGAAAGTATGTGAGTACTTAATCTTAAACAATTGCACTCATTGAAGATAAGCGAAATCAACTATGGTAGTGTTAATAAATAGAAATATGCTAAGCCTAATATTGAAAACATGCGATAATTTTGCAGCTCCTTCTTTTTAATAACGAAGGATAGCGAGGAGGGTGCGAACGGCTATTCTTCTTGAGGCAGCAAGTGCTTACTCTAACACGGGATGATATTGATCAAAGTCTAACTTTTTTCATACTCAACAACTCAGAATTAAGATAAGTGGCTTCAAGTGACTAAAATTTTTCGTCCTCGTTAATGACTCAGATGATTGAGCACCAGGTGGCCTTTGTTAGTTTATATATAAAGGGTATAAACAATTCTAGAACCACCAGAATGATAGAGCGAGTCGTCGTCATTTATTCATAGTAAATGTCTCTGCTTGATGTATTTGACCCGAAGAAGATCATGCCCAGGTCTCAGGATTTTCATAATAATAACTTGTTGCGACCTTTGACTTATTTGAATGCTGGAGTAGACACAGACTCATACTGCTAATCAATACGAACAAGGTCAGAGGAAGATGAGCAAGATCCTTTTGAAAGATCAGGGATCACGCTGATGCTGTACGAACAAACATTATCACTTAACTGAATAATTTGAATTGCCAGTGCTGATTAACGTTGAGATCTTCCATCTTTAGTCGTCACAGTTTGGGGAAATAGATTCAAATTCATCATGTTGGAGCATTTCTGTACACAAGACCTCACTTTGAACATTAATACCTGTAGACGCAGCACTTTTCTACTTGATCTATATGAAGAAGCAAGTAAGTACCTATCAAGGATCGAGTTTCTAGTTTGATTCATTTCCGTCCGAAGAGGATAAGTCAGCCTCCTGCACTGCCTTCCTACGAAGACCTCCAGCAACCTGTACTTTTCGGTTGGGGTCGCGTGAGTCGATTTCGTCTTCTCCATCGCTGTGCACCTCTCGGATTAGCATTCGAGAATCCACTTGCTTATTCATATCTGATACGGCCGCTGATTTCGCTTTGCTAGAAACTGCTTGCTCCTGTAATTTCTTTCGCAAATAGAAACTCGCAATCTCCTCATAGAGCGGCTCCAAACCTCCGACATGCATCGGGAGAAACCTTTTTAGAGTGGTTTGAAAGGAAAAGTGAGAAAATGAGTTAGACGAGATGTAGACTGTGTAATGGTATCGCAAGTTGTTGATTAGTTCGTTATGATTGCTTAGAGTATTCCCTCGCGATTTTCTTCTAGATGTTTAGTTTCACCAGGGGGCTCCACTCCAGCTAGCACGCTAAGTGCGATAGCCTGGCGAATGTTGAAGCACGTTCTTATCTACTAGATTGAGTACCTGTATAACGGGTCGTTCTTGATTGCTTCCTTGGCTTCTCCTGCCGAGTCTGCTTTCGGGGGAAAGTGCTCACTTCGAATAATCGGGTAGATGAAAACGGTGAACGTTTTCTCACATAGTCGGTCCACGGAGTTATAAATGTTGAGCAGCAGTTTGCTAGAATGTAGGTCCTTTGACTCATCCCAGGTGTCTCGATACGTTGTCAGCGGCGTCAATAAGCTTTGCCGCGAAGCCTGTTAGATAAGTCACCATCCATGTAAATAATCCAAAGCATTTGAATAGAAAATGAGTATACGCCTTCAGTAGATGGCGCACTTGGTAATACTCAACACCAAAGAGAAAGTAGATTCGTCGCTCATTCAGGAGGTTCTACGCGAGAATATAGTGAATATATAAGTATCATAGTACCCGTCGGAAAGATTGGTCAAGCAGCGCGCGGCGTTCAGCGGCTGGCGTCTCGTAAGTAGACATTAGAGAAATTCACACCACGCAGCTCGCTTGCGATCAAACGCGATTATCTCACCATCTCCCCTTCCTATTTTGTTGATACGTTTTGACTTCGTTACATATCTTTAAGCCTTCATTCTAGAAAAAGAGACGAGAACCTAAACGCAGTAGTAGTACATAGAGGCATCGAGTGTACACCGTTGAGGGATGACATAAGAATAAGTAGGGTCCTTGTAGCCATAAATAAAATGGATTGTCCTGGTCAACACCATACCAAATGTACGCCATGTATCGCGACACCAGCATCGCGCTATTGGTAAGAAAATGCGACTCCCCACTCGCCGAAGTCGAGTACGTTAGAACAAGACGAAAGAAAAGGCTTTTTATTAAGAATAACTACAAACCAGAGCACTCAGAGTGCTCGCGTTATTTCGTCATACACTTTAAACTTAAAGATACGCCATCAGTATATCAAATCATAGAGGACTTCGGATCTAATTTCCAATATCTTAAAAGTAATTCTGCATGTTGTTAGGATTAGAAGGGCTGTAGGTTCATTATCTTCATGAATTTTAAGACGACCCTACTCGACTGAGATAAGTCAAAGTCTTACCATGATCGTCGAGGAGAGTCTTCTTGATAGAAGATAACGACTTTCTTAAGCAGCTGTATCGACAACCAAAGAAGCCTGCTTCGCAAGAAGATAAACTTTCTCCTCCACGACGACTCGATTATAGTTGCTGCTCGGTGGTGGTGCGTTCGGAATCAATCCGTGACAGATCTGTTTAAGGGTAAAAATTAGGCATAAAGAAACTTTTTCGATTTTCATACTACATCATTGCGCCACTTGTTTCCGAACTTCGCACATGCTTGCTAGTCGTAACTCTTCATGAGTGCTTCACCATGCTGAGACGAAGGCGTATCAAGATCATGATCCTACAAGAGAACATAGAAAGCTTGAGTATAAAAAACTGGTACGACGCGGTCCAAGCTGCGCAATTGTTCCAAGAAATTAGCTACAGGATCAGCTGTAACTCCTCGGGGGAGGAGAGCAGCAACAGTTTTGGATTTCTTCGTCATAGCCAGCTTCGCAACAATCGCATGTAGTGCGATGCCTCCCGGAACCGTGTGTTAGAAGAACGTAGAAAGATTAACACTACACAATGGTAGCGATCTCTTCTCGTGAACTATCCTAGAAAAATTAATTAATACTGTGGTGATATTCGCAACGACTAGATTACTAAGAGCCCGTGGCTCTGTAGTACGAATCGCATAGCCAGTAACAGTATAACGCAGATGATCTAAACCAAGAAAGTTACGAAATGCTAACACTCTATCTTTTTACAGAAACGCAAGACTATCCATAGCCCAAGTCTCCTCGAGTCTCGGTTGCAACTTTTTGCACTGCGTGCGCTGCTTTATTGACGTTCGCCGCACATTTGCAGTCTCCGATGACTTTGAAGAAATCTGCTACCAGTCCTTCTTGTAAAAGTTTCTTGATTAGAGACATGACACCAAGATAGACAGAAAGTCCTTCCCCGCGAAGTAAGAAGTAGCGCTGCAAAATAGTGAATTGTCACGCATTGCATTACGCAAGTTAATTTTCGCACTTTTCTATAGCGCACCGCATTAAAAACCGGCAAGTATTTTTCAAGTTAAACTTTGTCCGTAAAATGATAATGTCGGTGCGGTAAGCCATGAGTTCCCTTCCGTACTCTTGGGCAACATTGACGTACTCTTCGTTGTCGTCGCAGAGTTTGATCAAGCGCTCTTGATCTTTTTCACGCGCCGCGATAAGGTCCTCAGTTTTCGAATCAATCATTTCTAAAGCCCAAAAAGCCACGGCTTTATTCGTATTAGAAACATAGATTGAATTTGTGGAAGATGAAGGAGAAAAAGCATTATCCTACACAATGAGGTCCTCTCCTTTAAGAAAATACCAGAGACATTACGAGAGACCAGGAGCGACGTTCTTACTTTCAATATTCACATATAATGCTTCTGTCGAAGAACGTGATGACAGTGCTGCCGCACGTTGCTGAGCTGATGAAACTTAGTGGGTTTTTCCCTGTTAGTCCTTAACTTCGTCGGCAATCGAACGAGCAAACTTCGGAGCTTCTTTCTTCTTCAAGTACGCCTCTGCTAATAGAACAGCTGCCCAAAATTTTTCTTCGTTTTTGAAATCGTACTCCAATGGCTGTAGTGAGGATGAGGACAAAATGATCATGGGACGCTTTCGTAATCTCAAACATTAATAAAACGCAAAGTGCTTATACGTTATTTCCTAGTAATGATGAATCAAAGCAAAAACCTTCTGACTGATGAAGAAGTCTCAAATAGAGTACTTTTTCCATAGAGTCGATGAATCCCACTTCTGCAGATTGTGCTTGACGTTGTTTCTGTGCCCAAGTTTTCTTACTCTTCTTTTTCGGCGGTGCCGGAGCGTGCATAGTTGTCGCTTGAGCTGGTTGCTCAGGCTCGTGGCGCAGCGTCGTCGTACTCGCGTCTGGTTCTCCTACATTAGACTCTCGAGGAGTATTTACCACAGTCGCGGCAGCTTCTTCATTTTCCTTGTTGTCGTCCGTAGTCTTGCCAGCAGGAGTAAAAACCTTGCCAAAATTGATGCTGCGCTTCGGCAACCTATCGGGTTGTAGAGCACGCGCATGAAATAGATGAAGGAATCATAATAAGAGTAAATGAGAAAGAACGACGCATAGCAAATATCTATGAAAGACGATCACAGAAACAGAAATACTCTCACGAGTCTATCTTCAAAAACGTTTCGAGTACGTAGTACTAAAAATGTAGATAAAACAATACACGCTGGCGGGCTCTGGTTGCAATGATAGCGCGCGGTTTGTGTTTTGCAAACGCTCCAGTCCCTGCACCGAAAGGCTTGAGATACCATTCTGACTCTCCATTGCCATCTGCATGTTCATTACGTTGCTCATGCCAAATGGAAACCCTGGAGCAAGCATTTGATTTTGTGCAAGCAGTTGCTGATTTAAAAGAAGCTGTTGGCTCGCAAGTGCTACTTGAAGCTGTTGCTCTTGTTGCAGCTGGAAGAGGGCGTTAGCACTGGAAGGAATACTGCTAGCGGACTGAGCAACACTACGCGCACCTTCTGGAGTCGCATGAATAGCTGCACCGGCAGGAGTCGAAGCAAGCACTCCGTGAGAAGATGTAGTTTGTTCCAACATTTTTTTTTCCATGTCGACTTCCATCATGTTGTTGTTGTTGTTTGGTTCATCATTTTTTTCTTCTTCCGGTAGTAGTTTTTCCTTATAAGACGCAGATGATTTCTGTAAGGAGCGGGAGGAAGAGAGCACACCAGAGTCAGACGCTTCTAGTCCGCCAGCAGTAGTAGCAGGATCAGGATCTCTTCCTTGTCGAAGGTCTGCAAGGTGCATGGAAGACTGCGAATCTCCACCCCAGAACAAACGCGCAGAGCCAGGGGCACCCCGAATCAGGTCAGGAGCAGAAAAAGACGATGATCCACGTTCCAAAAAACCAGTATGCGAACCAGCCGGAGACTCGGACACGTCTTGACTGATAATAATACGTTTTAAATTCTAACGGAAGAAAGAATGAGACTCCCATGTTAATTTAAAGTTCAACCTTGAAAGCACGAATACTACCATAGTCGTTTCCACTGTCTTCAAGAACAGGATACTTCTGAAGAAAGAAAATTTAACATGTATGAAACTTATAGAGAAATACATCTTGGCGGGCGGAGAAGGAACGGGAGAAGCTTCTGCAACGGCTAAACTTTGCGCGCGAGACCTCTTCCTATTTGCTTCGTCACATGCTGATTGATTTTCATGAAGAACGTAAGTGCATAAAGAAAACTAAGTTTCTGACTCTATTCTATTACGAAAGGAAAGTAAAAGATGTCCTACAACATACGTTCGGTCTTCTTGTAATAAAATCACAGCTCTAATCATATAGCACAAGCTAGACAGACGACCACGCAACATAAATGATAAGTGCCTGGCTTCATGTCTTTGCCGTCATCGTTGTCATCGAGATCCTCATCAGCCACCAGATATCCTAATCGCTTGCGGCGATCGTCGTTAAACTTGACGTGTGCCTTCGTCAATCCGAGCTGCGCCAGGCGGTCAGCGTCATTCGCCAACTCTACCGGCAGACTTTTGTTGTAGATGAAGCTGTATAATAGAGCTGCATCCCGGCGGCATTGTAGTCGCTGATACATTTCTCTGTGCTTCACTCCCGTTGGGCAACGTGCCATCAAATCCGGATACTCCGTCATTGCACGCTCGTACACCTAGAGCGATAGCCAATCGATGACGAGTTAAAAAAAGACTACCGAGTGTGTATCTAAGGAATGTCATGATTTTCAGTATAATACAATCAAACTTGAGAAAACATAAGATATTCAGCCAGGAGGAAATAAATGAAACACTTATGAGAAGTACGTCTTTCGATTCCTTCCATGGCTCCGAGGCAAGGATATTTTCTTGATGTGTTTTCGTGAACTCGGCGTTTTTTATTTCGTATGGGATTACGTATGCTCCCAGGATGCTCAAAAAAACTTCAATTTCCTCATCTGGGTCATCTGTTGGCACTTTCGGGTTGTTGGAAGCCAAAGTATTTAGTGCTGCAGCGCAACTCTGAATGCACCCTTGCGTCGATTTTGCCTCGAGAAGCGGAAGGAGGTACTCCTGCAAGTGCAAGCGTGAAATTAAATCGAGATGACCGCATCAAAATGATACATAAATAACAAGCTCTCGCACCTTGAGAGTAGATGTGGAAAAAAAAATTACAGAGTAGACACTACTACCATGACACTGATCATGAGTGATATCCAGCCCAGTCAATAAACCTAACGCATTCGGGTGATATAAATAAATACCAAAAAGACAGCGAAGTCGTCACGCGTCAACTTCACCACAATCATTTTCGTTGGCTTCCCATACTCCGGCTCTTTCTCGAAGCAAATTTTCTCGAATTTCGTATTCAAATTGGTGAACAGCATGACGTACTGCATGTGACCTGCTTGCGTTATCGTCGCACGATAAAAATAGTTTCAGTAATGTGATTGATAGAAGAACAACGCAATAGGTATTGAAGCCAAGCTGTTACTTGTTTCATACCAAGCTTAAGCTTTGAGATTCGTAAAAAATGACACTGGTGCATGTGTAACAACCCACAACATCACATAAATATAAACATAATTGGATGAGTACGATTCGGCACGTTGCGACTCACTTTGTCTTGAAATTTTTTCCAGTCGATTCCCTTCATCCATAAAATGAACACGCACGCATCGACAACTCGCATTTTCTGTAAAGGAAGGTCGGTAAAGTAAACGAATTGGCGAACTATCACAGAGAGTCGATACAAAAAGTGCCTGCTCATGCCCGGCAGAAGAAAGATGAAAATGACTAATATTGCAAGAAAGTGATAATAAGTAGAAAGGCTACACACTTCGAGAAGAATTACGTCGACGCCCACACTGACCCGCCCAGAGTCAAGAGAATAAGCGGCAGAAAAGTCGACGAACCTCGTGGAAGATTACACACGACAGCCCTCAGACACAAGCACAGAACCCGAGCAGCAAAGGAGCACAGCCAAGACTGGGCCCACAATATTCAGAACCGCAGGCCACCCACGAAATTGCCGGGCCACTTGCTTGAATTGTGGCGATCGGCGGCGCCTTGATTGGTGGAGCGGATGCGCGGAACAAGCGACCGGCGAAACTGCTGCGGAGTCATGGTCGAGGTCGTCAGCCTTGGACTTCTTGACGGTAGCGACTACGCCACCAAAGCAATTAACTGCGAGCGCAGGAACTTTGCGCGTTAGGTATCCAAGCCGCCCACAGCATCCAACTCACGCAGGTGCTTTGTTATTTGCTCTGGCGCCTTCCCCCTTTGCAAAGCCCACGCAGCCCATTTACGGCTAACCGCTCGCGCAGCAAAGATACAAACTCACCAGCACTTGCGTCTCGTGGACGCTGGCGAAATTTCTAGAGGTGACGCCGAAGATGCGCCGCCTTTTTTGCGGTCCTTGTCCTGCGCCTTTCTAGAGCATGCCGGTGGCTGCGATGAGTCCGGGCCCAGATGTCATCCCGTTGTTCCTTCATCTTGATCTTGAGGCTAATCTTGGCGGGTACTACTCTCGACCACACCACCGCCGCAAATGGCTGCCACCTCACTCCCGCAGCCACGTAACCCACCGCAGCGGAGGGCCCGCCCCTTCTTTCGATCACTCGGCGACGCCTTGTCCTCCACGGCCAGAAAATTTAAGGCATCCGCGGCGTGCTCCCTCTCGATTTTTCGACCAACGCGAGCCGGCGTCTTTAGCGTGAAGCATAGCTAAAGCAATCTGGCGGCGTCTGTTTTCGTCATCCCAGAAAAGATAAGGCGACAAGCTCCGGGTATAATGCCAGCGGCCCGCTGGAGTATATGGGCACTCTCCCGGCTTTAGCGCCGCCTCTGTGTATTGGTGACGACCTCCATGGCCTGCCACGCTGACCCCGATAAGAACACGCTAGCGCTTTCGATGCCGCCCAGCGTTTTAGTGCCACCACCTGGCGCAGCGAATCGGCAAGGGATGGGGGTCCCTGTCATTTAGCTACTCGCATACATAAGCAACGGGCAAAGCTGCCGGGCGAGGTGCGCCATGCATTCACCCTCGACGCTATCGCCGCCAAGATAACGCGGCCCCGCCTGCCTCGGTGAGGGCTGAGGGGCTGGCTTCGCTTGGCATGGGGCGCAGTTTCCTGAACCACCACCGGAAACGCCCCGGAGACATTTCTGCGAATGTCATCCCCTCGGCGAAGGATGTTGCGGCCAGCCTTGACGAAACACCGCGCCAATACTTGCGCCCCCATCATGATAACCAGGCGGCCTCTGGCTCGCTACGGCGGAGCAATCAGAGCCATGCGCGGGCTGGCAACCACGTCGCCGAGCGTCTCCCGGTGTGTTGCTTCGAAGACAACACACGGCGGCGCCCGTATCTCAAGCCACATAAATCCGCGCGCCATTGTCATCGGCGGCAGTCTGGAGAGACATGGGCACGGCTACACCAGCCGGGCGAGGCTCCGCCATTGTTTTCACTGGCAGCCGGCCGATCTGTTGCATTCACATTCCCACGACTTCGCAAGGAGGCACATGCGTCGCTAAGCTTTGCGCCCTCCGTTCATGCGCCTACAATCTGCTTCAAATTGCGACTAGGTTCTATCAGATAAGCTATAAAATGAAGACAAAAGTACCGACTCGTTGTACGCCAGTTCGAAAGCTTTGTAACACCCGTGATCGTACGGCCCAAGGCATAACAAATCCCACATTTTTTTCGCGGTCTCCGTACAAAAATCGCTTATCGATGCATTCTTCGCCCCTCTTGCAGAGGCTTTCTGTACCACGGCTTTACTCATTTTGTTTGTTCTCAATCGTGTTAATAAGTGTAGTTATCTATGGCACCCGACTGAAGCAAAGCCATAATAGGTGCGAGAATAATCAAATGCGTGAAGATTTAATTTAATCTTTTAACTCTTTTTTACTTGGATTTAGTACACCACGGCGATAGCATGAGTAAGAAGAGAGACGGCGCTAGAGGATCGAGCACGTACTTTCTTCAAACTAGATTCCTATAGGGTTTGATAGATTAACTGACTGAGTGATTGATAATGTTGGAGAGACTTTGAGTAAAGTTGAATTGTCTTGACGCAAATAAAACACTACACACAAATTAATACAGAAAATGATTTTCAACTTCATGGCCGACGCTATTAAAAAAGAAAGCTGATCAATGAACATCGTCGACAATTACACAAAACTAGGCGTATATAAGCACGGCACCGCGGACATGAGTCAAGCCATCAAAATAATGAACGCGAGGTCTAAACTTATGAATAGCAAGAACTTGCTACATCGATACAACGAAGAAAATCAATCGACGGACAAAGATTTGTTCTTGGGCGTCAACATCTCCAAAGCAATGGACGAAACAGCTCTCACTCACTCCATCAAGACGTCGCCTACTCGTCGACAATCAAAGACCACGCGAGCAGATGAATACATAGCGTTTGCATCAAGTAGAAACTACGAAGGAAGAATGAAACGCAGAACACTTTTTTGATCAGCGACAAGTGGCAACCGCGGGACCTCCGCCTGTACTAATCACAGACAAGCTGGAACATAGAGGAGGCTCTCAAGTTCAAGAGGAGGCACATCGATGCATAGACACGTCAAAAGTTGAAGTGATGACTGACTGGGGAACTCAGTTAATAATAAAATGCTTCTCCTTACTCTTAGTCTTGCTTGATCATCTTAAAGTATGAGATCTTTTGCCTTGTGGGTGCAATACCATGACGAGAGTGATCGTATGGGGTTCATGGTAGGTTGCTAAATGAGGGAAAAGACGAGCCGCTTATGTTCATGTTCATGCTGTAGTATTGGTCCGGTGAACGCTTACTTTCGTATGCAAAGAAGTATTCTTTTTGTTACCTCATAAATGAAGAGCAGTCGTCTAACCAGTATGGACATCATAAGCCGAGCGACGACAAGAGTAAAGTCATGCATGAGCACTGATGACCATAAGAATTATAATCAAACAATATTGAGGACAAATACAATCAATATACACTACATTACCGAAGATGATTCAAATCAGTAAGAGAAGCAAGAAGCTACTTGTACGCGAGTAGCTTTCTCATCACAAATCCGGACCAACAACGCCTCAGATTTCTACTTATCAACTACTTCTAAAGGGTGGGGCCCGACAATCATGTCAACTTAAGACGAAGCGCTATAAAATTAGTACTACATGTACATGCTCAGTAATGATTTACTTAAAACAATAAGGCCAATGTCTTCACTTTCACAAGACAAGCGATATGAGTTGTTTACCCTAACCGTATGGCAAATAGCACAGAGCACGAGCTTCAGAAGTTGCCACGCGAGGCTCGGCCAATCTTCAGCGCGTCACTTTTTCTTCTTCATGGCGTTGGAGCTTGCCTTCGCCGTTTTTGTTCCGCTTTTCATTACCGAGGCTTTCTTCATCGCAGACGCCATTTTAGTTCCTGCGGCCTGCAGTATGCGCATAGCCGTTTTACTTGTGGCATTTGCGGATGCGGCTTTCAGAGACTTTTTCGCCAGTCATTAGATGCGAAATCAATTAGGACTAGCACGCAATTGCTTTTCTAGCATATCTAAAGAATATAAATTATTCTCCGCTTGCAGATGTAGAGTATCCTATTTAGTATTCTTGTATACTTCAAGGCCTTAATCTTGTGGACATGAAGCGGACTGTGCCTTTTTATTCATCTTCGAGACCGAGGAGGAGGATGCGGAGGAAGAAGAGGCTCCGCCGCCTGCGTGCGATTTGTCAGCAATCGTTTGCTTCTTATCAACGGCACCACGAGGAGAAGACGTTTTCTTATTTGCATCCTTTGTAGCGCCATCCTCTGTCGCCTGCTTCATGGACTTGCATCGTTAGAAGTAGAACGCATTCACTGCCCAGGTGCTGCTATTCGTGTGAACCGCGATACCACAAAGATACGAAGATAAGTCTAAGCAGCATAGTCATAGATAACACAGCGAGCACATCATTACTCTTCTCCTCTGATAGACTTATTGGCATGATTCAAAAGGAGAGCCTTAAGTCTGTTTCGTGTGAGATGGGGTCTCTGATGTTATGCCTTGGTTTTTCTTCACGTTTTTCGAAGCTGCGCCTAGATTCTTCAAAGCGTCAGCTTTCTTCTTCTTCGGAGTTTCATCTGAAGTATGTTCATGGATAGGCTTTTTAAATAATGAATAATAAAATATATCATGCTTGAAATATCAAAAGTTCGCCACGAGTCCAGTTCGTCAAGCTGCATAACAATATATCTTCAAATAAATAAAGTAGAAGAAGTGCCTGCTCTAAGAACTTTCATCGCTGGCGCCTCACGACCCAGACCAGTTTGGGAATCGTGACGAATTAGATACATTCGAAAGGTGTTATCGCGCTTTGAAAGCAGCTGAGCAATATCCTTAGTCTTCGCCGTAGTCATCGCAGAAAAATTCACTTTTTCGTCTGGATCATCATGAAGGCACGCATTCTGCAGAAACGTTGCAATTCGTAAGACCATTCCATCACTTCGTAGCACTTTTCGAAGTTCAGAAATGCGGGTCCGCTTGTGCAAGTGTTAGAAAAATAACTGAAGAAATAAAAATCTTCTGTCTATAGAGCTGAACACTCGAAAAAAATATACGTAATAGAAGTATTAACTTGAGATATAGTAGCTTCTAGCGGTTGCGTCCTGCAGTTCTTAGATAGTATGGGACTACTTCCTATATGAATGGACAAGCATAATGAGAACGATTCTCATCATAAGTTATATCTTCCGACGATAGATTTTTTTTTGTTTCGGCTCCCTCGCTCAAAATCTCATACGCCTCGCTCAACTCAGGAATGTTGGCAACTGCGCTTAAGAAGTCTGCATCAAAAATTTGTCTGAGGTGTGCCAGCTGCATCTGGTCCACCTTCTTGCACTGTGCCGACGTGGTACTTCCGGCATCCTCTACGCCCTCCATGACGTCTCCAGAAGCTGCGCTCGCAATGCTATGGTCATGCTCATCAACTACTTCGTGTTCGTCTACAATCTTCTCCGACGCATCTTCTGTCGATGCGCCTGCTCCTGTTACTGTTGCCTCTTCATGTACTAGTTGCTTGTTTTCCTTGTCTGTCTTTCCTCCCGTACAAGTCGTAACCGGTTGATTTCCGGTTTTCTTAGGAGAGCCGGTGGCTTTCTTCATGAAGTGAGCATCTTGCTGCCGTTCTGTTACACCACTGGCAAACTTCTTCATACTGAAGAGAAAAGGGGAGTGCGCGTGAGGATCGGCTGGCTGTTGTTCTTGTTCAGTTGTGCCATCCTTTACTACTCTTTTTAGACTAGTCTCTTGGATGATCTTGCATCTCTGTCCGGCCAGTGGATCTTTTGCCGAGTCTAGTGACGACGTGAAGATGGTTGCACTAGTTACTGCGAGAGGATTAACGTTTTTCCTTTTCAAATTTAGTTCCTCACGAATGGCCATACTTTCTTCGCAAATCTGAACTTTATGGTGTGGAAACTGTTTGTCCAGCTTTAATTTCTCTTCTGTAGCCCATAGCATGCCGTGCAGCTCGTTGGTTTGATACTCTTCGTCTTTTTCCTGGTTTTCGTCGTCTTTATTCTCATCAAGATTCATTGAGCTTTCTTCTTGACGTCCGTGGTACGCCTCCTTTAGAAGGTCGATAGCTGTTTCGAGTGGGTCTTCTACAACATCCCAAGGATTAGAGAAGAACCGGTCCATCCAATCTGGGGCATTGATGACACCCGAACGCGTGCGAGGAAGACAAGTAGGCTTTGTAGAAGATGTAGTCGAAGCTGATTGCTGTGAAGGCGGCGCTCCTAGTCCAGTTGTGTCCACGTTGTTGCTTTCCACCTTTCGCAGATCATGGTCGGAAATGAATCCAATAGGAAAATAAATCCCATAACCGTTGTGCTTGTAAGCTTCCAAAAAATGTTAGAAGTAAAAATAGAGAGCATATACACATATAATGCAAAATCATAATTACGGAGCAAATAAAGATGGACGAGCATGCATCCTCTTTTTACGTAGGGGCAATATAGCTTCACTCTTCTTCGTGATTGAGTCACCGCTACAGGAAACGCCTACAGTATTGAAGTGGATGCGTGAACAAAAAGCACGCCCGATACTAAATGGGAATGTTCTGCTGTGGTCCATAATATTCAGTAGGGCCCATCAGCCATCCATGATCGTAGCAAAAAAATCGACCAGGAGTACTCATCTTCGATTGCAGAGCGTTCGAGTACATGTCTATGTCGGAGCAACTCGCAGAAGAAGAAGATATAGAACCACGCGGCACGTATGAAGACTTGTTTTTCTCCGCGTCTGACCCATTTGCTGCATTTTGTTGCGCTTGTAGACGTGCATCTGCTTCAGCTTTCGAATCGGATTTCACGAACAGAGACGTCTTCTCCATCTTTTCACCCGGAGCCAGATTCTGACGAAAGCCCATATGCAGTCCTCGCTGCTCCATATCATTCATGATTACAGCAATCGTTTCAGGAGACAGCTGGTGGAGGTTGTTTGCGAACTCCACCAAATACCTCGGCTTTCCTCCAAGTACGCGAAGAGTTGAAGTGCTGTGCGTGATGGGTTCGGCAACCGCTTCTAGTAAGGTACTGCATGGATCTAGATTCGTGGTTCTGATCTTGCCGTTCATTGTGTCGATGCTCAAAGAGACTGGCTGCAATCCTTTTTTTTTCATCTCGAGCAGGCGGGTCTTTTCCATGGGCGGACAATTGTAACTGTTTAGAAGAGTGCGCACGGTATTGATTTGCGGAGTGAACGACTGCACAGCTTGAGTTCCTTTGTTGAACATCGATAAGTCTCGAACAACTCTAGGCGGACACACAGCTGCGCCACAATTCATTAAGCCTGCTGCTCGCAATTGTAGAGTAGAAGCTGTCGGATCGTTGCAACGGAAATTAGTAAAGTTAGCTAATCCATGTTGTGCAATACTACTGGAATTCAAATTCGAGAAGTGGAGTGCTCCTCCACCGAGAACAGACGAGTGCACTCCTCGTTGAAATCCCAACGCCGACGCTGTAGCAGGGACGCCCGTGAATTGATGTTGATGCGCCTGGTTGATGTTGGCCAGAACTAGATTATTGCTTTTCTGATGTTGCTGCTGTTGGTGCAGCAGCATCCTTTGAGCCTGCAACTGTTGAAGCTGTTGGATTTGTTGCAGGTCCGCGAAGTTGAAGTCTTCCTGCGATTGATCTTGAGCCTGGTGATTCAGAGAAGACCGGGAACAACCACCATAGATCGGGCACTTGGATCCCGTTGCACCAGAACAGTTTGCATTTCCTGCAGGTGCAGATGTCGATTTGCCATTTCCTCCACGGGGGTCGGTGCGAGTCATATCAATCGAAGCGCAGCCCTGAAAGCAAAAAGTTGAAACTTGTGCTAGTATGCATATGCACTGCATGATTGTAAAAATTAATGAACACTGATAAAATTAACGATAACTGTATTCATTTAGTGGTAGAAATGAAAGACTTTCTTTCTGTGCAATGAAATATACAAAACGTAACAAGACACAAAGAGATGACCAAGTAAAATTCTATTAGTTACCAATGTGAGCGCCTGTCGATCTTCAATATTTATGGCATCCGGATTCGCACTTGGGACGAACGTAGTAGAGAAATGACGAGTATTATCCGTCTTTTGTCGACCGAAAGTCGGTGTGTCTGTTCCCATCTTTCCACTCATGCCGGCGACATTATCATCGTCAACGATTCCAGCGTTTCTTTTATCGTTCTCGAGTCGAAGTCTGCCGCTTTGAATGAAACTCTGCAGAGCGGCACTATGAGGAGCATGTCCAGCGGCACGCATGCCAACACCCTGCGAAGTTGTTTTCTCATCGACTGCAGGACTTTTTCCGTGTCCACCGGAGACAGCACACTGATCACCACTCTCCGACATTTTCTTCATGGTTTAAGTACTCCTATGAGCCAATTGCTCAACTAAATGATAAAAAGCGGATAAAAGATTGTTGCTCGTCCTAAAACTACTATAGAAGAAGTCGAAACTTTTATCCCGTTTGTCAATGCAAATCATTAGTTTTGTGACTTTCCTCAATCACAAATAAAGCGGCTGGCTCTAACGGTTGATTGATCTCTTTATGACAACCAGCACAGCGGAGAATAAAACACACGCGGCTCCACGTCCTTGAGCATGTTCTGATAAGAAGACGTTAAGAATCTGAGTAAGAAGCTTCTTATTTCATTTCTTTCTCAATGATCTCAATCAGGGCGGCCGCGTCTGTAGAAGAGAGGCGCCATCTCATGGGTTCTCGTCGACACGTTGGAAGACCACCTTCTCAATCATTATTTCTTGAAGTAGATCATTGCGATAGCGTCATAGTATCACAAGACAACTACGCCACTTACATGAACCGCTGAAGAGTTGCACAGCAACGAAGAAAGTCACCATATTAATACGCACGTCGACCCCACATAGATGTTAAAAATATAATTGCAACGCTACTGGATTCTTGAAATTCGTGCCGTCATGTAATGATGATAACTCAACAGCTACGACATGTCACGGCGCTATATATCTAATTCACCACAAGCTTCGCAAGGAAGCGCGTGACTTCACCCAAGCGCCCTGCCAACTCAGTGGCATCATCATACTGCTTCTGCTCACACTTCTCAGCAAGCTTCTGCAAGATTTCTCCATACTCTTCCAGTAAAAAGCCGCGCACCTCCTCTGTGTTGTAGCCAAGATCTTGCTCGACCAGCATGAGCGCCATGACATGCTTATCCTTCGTCACAGGATTCACTGACGCCAGCAACTTGCGACGCAAAGCTGCCGGCTGCAAAGATAAACTGGAGAACAGTTTCACCTGTAAAAGTCAAATGATGCACGGAGATGAGAGCGAGTTTATACTTGGGGCTAACCTTACAGAAAAAGCAGAGGAGGAGACGCTACTCACAGCGCACTTGTAAACATAACACCACTAAACCAATGAGAAAGATCAGGAAAAGAATACGTAACACGACATACGTAAAAGATACAGGATTATTAGTACGCCAATTTCCAGGCGTCCACGTTTCGAAGGCGTCGCCTCCTGCTCCTTCTTCACAGGCTCCACCGTACCACCCACAGTCGTAACGGTGCTACTTTTGGTTTCAGTCGGCGGCGCCGACTCCACTCCTTCGGACTCAATCACGACAGGACTGCCCGCGCGGTCAAATCGAACTAAGACAGACCCGATATTGTTGCCCATGTTTTTTGCGTCACTCTAATGCTCGTTGCTTTTTCTTTTGAATTGTAACAAGTGAAAGATGTGCAGAGCTTCTGCTTCTATCTCTGAAATTATACGACGACACGCCTACGGTAGAACTCGAATCAATATGGGAACGCACTCGATAGAGAGGCACTGCCTGCGTTGTTAGCGAACAGATGAAAAAATGTAGGCGGGTGTGGGTGTGAGTGTGTGTCGATTCCTTGCATTGTAACAAGACCGAGCACAGGCGTCCCAAGCTTGTGCACGTGGTTGCTACTGTGCAAGGCCTCGCGTGCGCAGCTCTCTAGAATGTGCAACGTCATGCGTGCATAAGTCTCCAGACCTATGCAAGACACACCTGCACGCCACAAGTGCTTCGATTTCTCGCGTGTTTTCTGATGTTGTGCAGATTTTGCGCGCACAGCTGTCCAGAGTACGCAAGATCATGCGCGCACAGCCGTCCAGACCTGTGCGAGACAGCTCCGCACGCCACAAGAGCTTCGACCTCTTGCGTGTTTTTTGATGTTGTCCAAGGTCTTGCGTGCACAGCTCTGGAGACTTGTGCAGGACAAGCGAGCCTGCACGCCAGAAGCGCTTCGATTTCTTGGGTGTTTTTGATGTCACGCAAGGTCTTGCTGTACAGATCTCCAGAGCTGTGCAGGACAGGCCTGCACGCCAGAAGCGCTTGGATTTCTTGGGTGTTTTTGATGTCACGCAAGGTCTTGCTGCACAGATCTCCAGAGCTGTGCA